GGACATAGTTTTTCTCGTGTTTATCTTTGTATAACTTATATTTCTGTCACTTTGATATAGATGCTTTCAGTTGAAGGCACATATCCTGAAATATTATTATATCTCATTACTCTTGCCTAGAGGACAATTTAAGTAAAAAGTGGCACAGCTTTCCTTACTCTCCATTTACTATTTAATCTAGGACATTGGCCTTGGGATTGGATTTTATGTGTTTTTCATTTTGCATTGTCATTTTTTAATATATTTAATGTAAACACATTGCCCATCTGGGAAATTAAAGACTTATTATACTGTATCCTGGTGGCTGCACAAATAAAAGAAATAAAAGTTCCTTTCCTCCCCACCAGGACTAAATAAATATGGCCTGCCGTTAGCTCAGTAAGGTCTCATGTAGCCTAATGACTAACGGCATAAGGCCTCCTCAAGGCAGCTTGGCAGTTCGCGCCAAGACTAACTGACAGACTTATAATCGACCAACCACAATTTAGGTGTTTGTGAAATGGATTACACCACAGTAAAACACTCATGTGGCAAAAAAAAATCTAACAATGGTACATCAATCTTCATATAGGTCTGAAGCAGAAACTACACGCTTAAAAATAAAGGTTCTTCACTGGCATTGATTGTTCCATGAAGAACCTTTAACATCAATGGAACCTTTCAAGTGCATGAAAGGTTCTTTATAGTGGAAAAAGGTTCTTGAGATTATTAAAATGTTCTTTGCAGTAAGAAAAAAAAGGTTCTTTAAGAACTGTTCACTGAAAGGTTCTTTGGGGAACCAGGAATGGTTCTTCTATGGCATCACTGCTGACCTGAGTGGGATGTTAAACAGTGACATAGAGTCAGTGAGTCAAACTGTGTAGGGCAACTTATATTACAATTCTTTCCTGTCGCTTTTGTGCCCTTGAGCCTAACACTTAACCCTTAAATCATGCTACTCCAGAGAGTCGGTTCCTGTAATTAGTGCACTGTAAGCCACTTTGAATGAAAAACATTTGCTAAACTGCAAGTGCACACTTGCTGGAAGAACCCAGACCATTATCCTAAGAGGTCAAGTGTCATGAAATGGAGGTGATTTGCCCTTTTGGAGTCATTCAAGGTCAGCACAGCTTGAACTGTTGCTCAAGGTTGTGTGACGTGTCTTTAAGCATAGTGATTTAGGCCGCGTCCACTACTGCGTTTTCGTTTAAAAACGGAGAATTAAAATGAATACGATCTCCGTCCACACCAGCGTTTTATCTGCGTATTAGAATTGATCTCCATCCACATTAAAACGCCTGAAAACGCGGATCACGTGACCATTCACCAACACTGGGCATGCGCGTGCCGGTGTAAACAGGAAACGGATTGACATGTGATGGGTGGCTGACGAATCAGGGAGGAGCCGAGCGTGAGCCTCTGCGTCATCGTTTCTAAAGTCCTCCGTTTTGTCCCGTCTTCTCTAAAACACCCTCCGGAGATTCAAAACGCAAAACGGAGCTGCGGCGTTTCTAAACTTCTCCGTTTTAGGTCTTCGTTTTTTCCGTTTTAGTCTGGACGGGAGGTGCAAATGTAGCAAAACGTCTCCGTTTTTAAACGAAAACGCAGTAGTGTGGACGGGGCCTTAGTTGTTTAAGTTGGTTTGTTCAGGGTTGTAATTGCTTAAAATTCTGCTTATTCTGCTGCATAGCTCAACTGTGTATGTATGGTATATTTTTAGAAGTGTGTTTACAGCCATTATGTTTTTATCACACATCAGTCAATGATCATTTATTAATCTAGGTTCATGTTAAAGGTACACTATGTAACTATTGGCCCTCTAGCAGTTAAAAAACGAAATTGCATGCATTTTGCAGAAGAACATTGTTTTGGTTGTGCTTGCGTGACTGTGCGGATGAATATGACCCTTCACATTAGATAATGTTTTACAATGAACTCTGTTAGAGAGCTACATATGGCAATTCATCTGTTCAATAATATACCTTACTCGCCTGTTGAGTTATATAAACGCATCTCGCATCACTTTCACAACTTTTCAAATCCCTCCGTTCTCGCCATCTCCAAAGAGCCAAGCCAATGTTGATTCTGGTTTTATTACGAGCTCTGCTGTGGTCTCTTTTTGCCACCAGACTCTCTTCTGTTCAGCGTTTGTTTAAAACGGATGATTCCCCGGAGGTTGGAGATTTTAGCTGATCCATGTCAATCTTTCTCGCTCATTGTGACAAATAACTAACCTCTGCCACTCTATATATGCGTCAAAGTAGCCGGAGCAACTTTCCTCTATATATGGATATGACGAGCAGGGCTCGACATTAAGGCTTGTCCGCTTGTCCGGGACAAGTGGATTTTTTGTAGGACAAGTAGAAGAGAAAATTAGTTGTCCGACCGGACAAGTTAAATTTCAAACAAAATAAAATGCCATGTTACTTCACGTTATGTGCCACTCGTTACGTCTATTTTACAGATTTCATTTTACCGATTTGAAACGAACACATTTTTTCGCGCTGCCTGTGAATGTCCTGAATGTGACTCACAGAAAGACGCGCGCCAGTATAATGCGCATGCACAGACCGCGCGCCAGAAGTTCTCTTTTGCGCTTGAACGAACATCAACAACACACACAATTAAGCCAAAATGTCATTTGTCGAGTATCTTCATAACATAAGAACTGTCTGATGATGGACATAAAGAGTTGTGACTCGTGAGAGAATGAGGCGCGTGTGATATCCGCGTCTCTGTCCACAGCGGCTGCTCTTAAAGGGCCAGCTACCAATAAAGCGTTCTGTCAGTAAAGTTACTGAAAGAACAAAGGGAACAGAGAAAATTACTCACTGCTCTTGACTAAAGAACTTGTGTAGCTTCAATAAGTAGTAGTCTATATATAATTTATCATTTATGCAGCCCAGACTGTTTGATAACTTTATTCAATTTCTGTATATGTCCTACCTGTTAGACAGTTAATTTTTATCCAGACATCAATGGCTTATTGATCATTATAGGTGTTATCAATCATTTAGTTGTTATTGCTAATTTCAGAATTATCACTAATCTGTGTGTGCATTTGGTTTAGAACCAAACAAGTTGACTCATGAAACCATTTGTTTATTATATCGCAATCGCATATCACAACCGCAATATTGAACTCAATAATCGCAATATGACATTTTCCCCAAATCGTGCAGCCCTAGATAAAATTATAAATCTTTACCCGGACAAGTGACTTTTGTGCATGGACAAGAGAAACATAAATTTACTTGTCCGAAGGACAAGTGCCTCAAAAAGTTAATGTCAAGCCCTGACGAGACACACACAGGAGCGAGTGACGTATGTACGCAATTTCCCGCAAAAAACATCCTGAAAGGGCCAAAATATAAACACTTATAATAGGCTCACCATAGTGAATCAGGGTAAGACAAAACTTGTTTTGGAATGATTGATGATGTAGTGACTCATTATTTAAATTATGATTTAGTTTTGAACAATCAAAAAGTTACACCTTTAATTTGACAAGATATACCTTTAATTTCTACATTTACTAGTACATTTCTAATAATTGTATTATGAACAAACATGAATTAACCATAACCAGTATAATTATAAATTAACTTTAACCTACACTTTAAAAAACACTGGGTTAAAAGGTCACTGTGATTTTGCCAAGTAATACATGTTCCAGGATCAACATTGTCGATCCTGCGACAACATTCCTGTCTTAACCCTATCCCTACCCATAACTTATCCCTAAAATCAGAGGGAAATGATAGGTGAATAAGAATAGTGTATAAGCCCCTAACCCTTGTTGTACGCCAATGACATTTACTGTAAACCTATCCCTCAAATCTGATTGGTTGATTGGAATGTTGTTCTACATTAGAACTACTTGGAAGTTAGTATACTCTAAACTTTTGTAAAATATTCCACACAACCAAATCATATTTTACAGTGCTGCATATTTTATACAGTTTTTAATGTAGACGATACAATATTGCCTACATTTAAACAAACATCAGAAGTAAAAATGAAACATTTAGAAGTAATTCAAGTGCAATCGACCAGTCTCTGTTATAGCGTTTCCACCGTTACAACGCTGGTTCTCGTGCCGGAGCTGTAATCGTGTTTGGTGGGGGAACTGCTAACTTCATACGTCCCTGTTTGTTGCTTTGCATAAAATGAAATGATTACACAGTAACCGTTTTATAGATAAAATGAAATATACACAAACCTGTATTCTACAGAGGAAATGCACCAATTGGATGGCGCTGAGAACTCTCTCTTGAAGAGGATGCAAAAAGCCTGCGATAAATAACTCAACCGCTGGGTTGTTACGTCTGACCCAAGAACTGGGTGACACAAAATATACCCAGACAAAAATAACCCCCCAAAAAACAGTGTTTGGATTGAAAAAAATAACCCAGGATTGTTTTTGTGTATATTAATAAATGCTGCGTAAAATGTAAATCATTGTTGGTTAGTTGATACCTCATAAACTGACTGATGTTAATGAATTGAACCTTATTGTAAAGTGTTACTTTTAACACATAGGCACATTATACTTTTAACACATAAGCACATTTTACTTTTTTTTTCTTTTTTTAGTACATTTAAACTATTGTATTTTGACAAATGAGTCTCATACAAACACATTTACTGAAGCAGTAACATAAGTTGGACATTTCTACATTCATTAGTGTAAACAAGGTCATGTGTTGCAATTTAAAAACATTTCTTTGACTAAAACTGCCAGAGGCAACAAAACAAGGTGTGAAAACAATTTCTATCACAGCATTGAAAAAGGTCTGCAAGTGTAGCCATGTGCAGTAATATTGCAACTCATCATGATGCATCGTGATATCGAATGGAATCGTTGACCTGATAATTGTAATCAAATTGAATCGTGAGACCAGTGACGATTCACGATTCACTAGTGTTTACTGCTGACTTCTAATAGCCCAACGGGTCAGTGAAACTGTCAAAGCTCTTTTCCTGCTTTTAAAATTGCTGTGTTCTGTCTTGGGTTGTAGATCTGGCTAGTAAGGGCTGGAAGGAGAGCCTGTCTGCCAGCTACAGCAGCTCCACCAGTGGGAACTGGAGCTGGGACGCCAGTGACCAATCGGTGCCCTCCACGCCGTCCCCGCCCCTCTCCAACGATGCCGGCAAGAGCTTCCTGCTCTCCTCCCAGAGTGATGACAACAATGAGGACACCGAGAGTACACACTTCCTGTTTGAGGACCCCATCCCCCGGAAACGAAAGGTAGGGGTCAGGTCATATGAGAAAACAGAGTGGACTTGTGTGGTTTATCAAGCCTTGGTAACAATGTGGAGTTCTGCTAAGTAGGTTTTGTGGACAAAGGTGGCAGTGGATTTACCTTCAGTAATGTAAGAGCTCCTTTAAACACATCAGCTTGGCTCTGGCACAACAAGTCTTGTCACCTACGTGATGGAGTGTTTTCGTTCTCTCTTTCATTCTCCCCCTTTTCGTCCCTTCTTCTATTCAGTTTTTTTGTAGTGTGGAATCATTCCAGAACGTGAATGTGGTTTCAATGTCAGGAAGCCATTAGCCTTTCTGCCTGTTCACCTTGTTTTGGTAGAGGCTGAGGATGTGTGTGTGTGTGTGTGTGTATGGGAGGGGGGTTCCGTTACAGATACACTCGGTCTTATCCTTTAACAGAGCTACACACAGGTTGTTCACACAATTCCCGAGTGCACAATCTTGTATACATGGATCCTGTCATACAAGCCTCTTTCTGAAGGAAAGGAGAAAAGTGAAACATGTTTACTCAGAGGTTTCTTTCTTTCCTTTTTTTTTATTTTTTAATACAGACTATTTCTCAATTCTGATGCAATATGTGCAATTCACTCCTCCATAGGCTTCTTAAGGGATCGAAACTGACCGGCCCAAAAGTTATGAAAGACATCGTTAAAATAGTCCGAGTGACTACAGTGGCTCAATCTTAAGTTTATCAAGCGACGAGAATACTTTTTGTGCGGAAAAAAACAAACAAAAATAACGACTTTATTCAACTATTCATTTCTTTCTCTGTGGGCCGTGAGATTTCACGTAGTGGAACTGCACAAAGCTTCTGTGTTGCACATCACACGTAGGCTCACTATTGGCCGACGCTGGTCATGTGTGTGATGCGTGTGACGTACAACCAGGGGTTAAAGTGGGCCGGAACGGTCCGGAACTGTGTTCCGGCACCTCAGATAAATAAATAAATAGATTCATTAATCTCAACGAATTTCGCTGGTCCCGAGCTGGGCCGACCGACCAACCAACCTCCCTTCCTCCCCGCTGAACGCGAGCGGTTACAAATGCGTGAAATGCACTCACGGTGAATGAGTGCGGTAAAGTTAGTTTTAGGTTCGATATTTCGCCTGACATTTGTTTTCCCTAGCCACTGTTCGGGTCTTACAAAGATATCAATAGCAGGATTAGTTTTAACATCATGTAACCATTGTATATCGACATGAAATATTCGTTCAAAATCACTTACGTGCATTAATGCTGCATATTTATACCTGAGAATGCTTTGACGTGTTTGCACAGCGCATGATGAGGGAACGTCTGCCAATTCTACCAACTGTGTTAAACGTAGCCTATAATTTGTATTATTTAAAATTACTTTTCAAATTCCAAAGCTTGTAGAAGGTTCCTATTGGCAATACTGACCTGGTAGCCTTGAGTAAATTAACTTGTTTAAGACAATGATTCATAAAATATAAATATCAGTTAAGCCTATGTTTACTTTCTTCACTGAGACGAAAATGAAAAGACCATCAGTCAAAGTTCAGCTTTAGGAGGGGAAGAAATAGGGCAGGATTAGGAGTCTGAGAGAAAAAGAAAGATGTAGATGAGGAGAGAGCAGGTAATGACAAAATAATATAATGCCCAATGATGGTTTTAAAGCTATTTATTATCAATTTTTTGGGCCTTCAAACGTCTTATATTGCACATTTGTAGGTCAGAGAAATCAAAATTTTCTCGGGGGAGCATGTCCCCGAACCCCCCTAAATTCCTCATATTTTAATGCACATGTCTGTGGGTGGGGCTGTGGATGATAATTACACCAAAAAGTATTGCTATACCACGATACTCAATATGTTGTCCCACGGTGAGCCATTTTTTCCTATGGGGTTCCCCCACCTGCCAAATCCCACTTTAACCACTGCGTTCAACCTAGAAGCTTTGCGCAGTTTCACTACGTGAAATATCACGGGTGAGTAATTACTGACACAATTTTCATTTTGGGGTGAACTAACCCTTTAATATAGGAATGCTTGCTGACCATATCTGTGCAAAGTAATATCCAGTCTTTCAAATCCTGTCAGGACCATGTAAAGTTTGTAAACCAAGGAACTTTGCAAGATATAACTAGAAGTTTATCTACAGTAGATAAACAGATGATTACAACCTCACACAACTTTACTTTTGACTTTAAAGCTCAAATAACACATTTAGTTGAGAACACATAATATAATTGAGTTCTGCTGTGAAAAGCCTATGGACTCCCATTCTAACCTTGTGCACTGCATTGCTAAATTGCGTCATAACTTTAATCTCTTAAAAGATCCCAACAACAGGAGCAAATAAGAATACACTGAGAGACCCTACTAAAAAAATAACTCAGTTCAATTAAGTGTAGGTTTTTTTTTTGTCATTTTAAAAGAATCCTTAGGGGATTGAAGAAGCCCTTTCAGATTATGTTAGAAACCCCATTAGCCATCCTGTACACAACTAGAAATGTAGTCGAAATGTTGAAGACAAAATTAAAAAAAATAGATAGTAGAGTTGTTTATTTCATGCTGGTGCGCGTTACATAATGTTTAATATGGGTCCGGCTGATTTTTGGCTGGAGTGTGACTCTCCTGTGTGTGTGTGTGTGTGTGTGTATGGAGACAGATGGATGTGTCCCGTACTGCTAGTGCTTGTCTTAGGCAACAGCGCTGGCTACCTCTTCTATTATTTCAGCTCCCTGCATGCCTATATGTCCTGCTATAGCCAATAAAAACCACTGTGAAAATGAAGGAGACGAGAGAGAAAAAACGTTCTTTGAAGCGAACTGAGCCAAATGCTGAGCAGCTGGGTGAAGTGTAACTCAAGAGGACTGGCTGTTCATTCATAAAGACAGATGGAAACATACACTTCCCAGTCGCTTTCGGTTAATGGTTGTCACATCCTCTCTGACGAGGCTTCGATGGGAAATGTTTCATAGGCTTTTGTGATCTGTGAAAGGGTTAAAATCATCAGCCTTGAGAACAGCCAAGAGCATTTGCATGTTTGTGTGTGTGTGTGTGTGTGTGTGTGTGTGTGTGTGTGTGTGTGTGTGTGTGTGTGTGTGTGTGTGTGTGTGTGTGTGAGAAGACACACACCCACTCATTGACTCAGTAGTGAACAGGTCCAGACATGTTTCATATTTCAGAGTTAATGTGATCATTTTTCTCACAAATTAAGCTCCTGGTGAGAGTAATCAGAGGAAATGATGATAATTATAAATATAATCATAATATAATTTTGGCTCTCTGTTGTTCTGGAGTGTCATTCTTTCACACCGTTCTCTGTCTGGAACTATGGGAATATGATAGGGTGCAACGGGGTAAAAGCCGCCTGTGATTTTATTTTTCGTCTGAACCACTTGATGGCACAAAGTATCGGCGTAGCATTTTCCAAAACATCCGCATTGCTAATTTGATCTAATATTTAATGTTTTTAAAATGTTGTAGATTTAAGTACCAAACGAGAATCGCTAAAATTATTGATCATGTTTTGAGGCAATGGTCTTGTTAATGATTTTCTGTTTTGATCAAGGTAATTAAAGGAACAGTTTTTCAATAACAGAAGAATATGTAGAAGAATGGTATTTGGGGTAAAATGCACCCCTGCTATTGGGGCTAAAAGGCACAATAATTAACATGATAATAAATATCTAAAAGTATATTTAGCATTATTATTATTTTTTTTATAAAAAATAAATAAGATAAAAAATAAATGATTATAATTTTAGATATTTATCAATAAATGTATTTTACTTTTACAAGTGAATATAGTGTATTTTATACGTATAGAAGTGTATAAGACTTTTAGAATGTTACAAAATATATCTATTTCAAATAAATATTGTTTTGTTGAATCCTATAAAAAAAAAACGTTTTATCACATTTTCCCTAAAAATATTGCGCAGCACAATTGTTTTCAACATTGATGATAATAATAAGAATGATATCAGAATGGTCATGTGACTGAAGACTGTAGTAGTGATGCTGAAAATTCAGATTTACCATCACAGGAATACATTACAATTTAATTGTATTTAATCGTGAAGTTTACTCCATTTTGGCACTTGTTGAGTGTTAATTTTGAACATTGGATATGAAGCAAAAATTGCAGTAAAGTGTGTGAGAGACCGATTCGTCGTTTTTTGAATCACCTACAGAAACACAGAAATCAAGTATGTTAGATAAACACACGAGAGGAGAAACAAAATACACTTGGAGCGCTGGTGAATGTGACAGGACAGCACAGGAGGTGTGAATCTCCCACACATGACACACGCGTGCCGTCACATGGCAGTGCTGTATATGTAATAGTTGTTTGACTGCAGTGGGCTGAAGGGAATTTCATGAGGCTTATGCAATCAGACCTCTGAATCACTGCAGATAGCGGCCTTGACTGCAAATAGACCCGATCTCCTTTTAAAGATTCACTTACTAATTATTATTCTCTCTTTATTCATTTTTTTAAAGTAGGTTTATAGCTTTAAGGCAGAACTGTATTGATGTTCCTTAGGCATTTCTCAGGCATTCAAACTTTGTTTTGTAGCCTTGGGTGTGCTGTCTATTTTGGTCTTTTATAAGCTTTTTAAGAAATATAAGATTGAAAATCTCCCATTGACTTGATAAAATAGAATACTCAAAAAAATCTAAATATTACTGCAATGATGTCATTGTGAAATTTACATTTGGATTCGTGATTGGCTGCTTTTCAAACTTCCCTAAAACTTTAGCAACTTCGGAAACACTGGCGTGTCCTTCATAATAAGACGTTAATCGTCATGTTTGTTTGTTCCAGAACTCCATGAAGGTGATGTTTAAGTGTCTGTGGAAGAACTGTGAAAAAGTCCTCAGCACCTCCTCAGGGATCCAGCGCCACATCCGCACCGTCCACCTCGGGTAAGCGTTAATCAGACAAATCACGCCTGCAATAGATGCACATGTTTGTTCTGCAGTTTGAACATTTACACAAGCAATTTGTCTGCCCAAACTAGACGTGACTCGACTGCAAGACGTGACAAAGTCAATCAAAAATCACAGCCAATCAGAAGAGCATGTGGGCTGAGTCTCTATGCAAGCGCACTGCACTCACAATGAATTCATAAATATTACATCGATTTAACATTGTTAAAAGGAATAGTTCACTCAGAAATTAAAATTCTGTCATTTACTCACCCATATGTCGTTCCCAACCGTAACAATTTCGTTCATCTTCGGAACACAAATGAAGATCTTTTTGATGAAATCTGAGAGCTTTCTGTCTCTCCATTAACAGCTACACAACTACTATATTGACGCTTAAAAAAGTCCATAAAGAGATCGTAAAAATTAAGCATAGCATCAGTTCTGCTTCTGACTGGTCACGTTAGTCAAGCTCGCATCAGCTGACTCTCAGCTGATCCACATCTACCTATAGGAATACGACGTCTATCACTGTATACATATATAAGCTCCTTCAGTATTATCAGCAGCTGTCGCGTTTCTCCGGAGCTGATTGCCCAGCTCCTCCTCTCGCCCAGTCAGGATTTGGCATTCTGATTCCCCTTGAATCAGAATAAATTCTTGAATTTACTTGAAAATACTTTAAAATCTTGAATTACTGATATCTGTTCTGTTGTGTTTACCCTAAGGGGGGTTATTGCTGCATGGATGCGCAGGGAGTTCTCGCCCAGAACAGAACCATACCGCCAATCCTAACCGTATGCTAATTGTCAATCGTACTTGACGATAGTCGTCCTGACAGAACTAATTAATTGAGCGGTTTAGTCCACATTTTCTGAAGAGACAATATTGCTTTATATGATGAACAGATTGAATTTAGGCTTTTAATAAAATATAAACATTGATCAGCAAACATAAACAGAAGCTCAACCGAACCTGCTTGACTCACTAGAAGAAACCTCTTGCTGAAGCTCAAACGTGCTGCGTAACATGAGAATGAATCTCATTGGTTCTTGCTGAAGCTCAAACGTGCTGCGTAACACGAGAATGAACCTCATTGGTTCTTGCTGAAGCTCAAGCGTGCTGCGTAACACGAGAATGAACCTCATTGGTTCTTGCTGAAGCTCAAACGTGCTGCGTAACACGAGAATGAATCTCATTGGTTCTTGCTGAAGCTCAAACGTGCTGCGTAACACGAGAATGAACCTCATTGGTTCTTGCTGAAGCTCAAGCGTGCTGCGTAACACGAGAATGAACCTCATTGGTTCTTGCTGAAGCTCAAACGTGCTGTGTAACACCAGAATGAACCTCATTGGTTCTTGCTGAAGCTCAAACGTGCTGCGTAACACCAGAATGAACCTCATTGGTTCTTGCTGAAGCTCAAACGTGCTGCATAACACGAGAATGAACCTCATTGGTTCTTGCTGAAGCTCAAACGTGCTGCGTAACACGAGAATGAACCTCATTGGTTCTTGCTGAAGCTCAAACGCGCTGCGTAACACGAGAATGAACCTCATTGGTTCTTGCTGAAGCTCAAACGAGCTGCGTAACACCAGAATAAACCTCATTGGTTCTTGCTGAAGCTCAAACGTTCTGCGTAACACCAGAATGAACCTCATTGGTTCTTGCTGAAGCTCAAGCGTGCTGCGTAACACGAGAATGAACCTCATTGGTTCTTGCTGAAGCTCAAGCGTGCTGCGTAACATGAGAATGAACCTCATTGGTTCTTGCTGAAGCTCAAACGTGCTGCGTAACACGAGAATGGACCTCATTGGTTCTTGCTGAAGCTCAAACGCGCTGCGTAACACGAGAATGAACCTCATTGGTTCTTGCTGAAGCTCAAACGTGCTGCGTAACATGAGAATGAACCTCATTGGTTCTTGCTGAAGCTCAAACGTGCTGCGTAACACCAGAATGAACCTCATTGGTTCTTGCTGAAGCTCAAACGTGCTGCGTAACACCAGAATGAACCTCATTGGTTCTTGCTGAAGCTCAAACGTGCTGCGTAACACCAGAATGAACCTCATTGGTTCTCGCACGTCAAGCGAAAAATGCTTCCATTTACCACAACTGATGTGTGAGTTGATGAATATGTGAATAAAAGCCTGAATTCAATCTGTTCATTATATAAAGCGTTCGAGTCTTCAGAAAATTTGAACTAAACCACTCAATTCATATGGACTAGTTTTACGATCTCTTTATGAACTTTTTGAAGCGTCAAAGTAGTTGTTGTGTAGCTGTCAATGGAGCAACAGAAATTCACTCTCAGATTTCATCAAAAAAATATCCTCATTTGGGTCCTGAAGATCAACGAAAGTCTTACAGGTTTGAAACGGCATCAGTAAACGATGACAGATGTGTTTTTTTTTTGGGTTAACTATTCTTTTAAAAATACATACTGAGTGACTGAAAGAATCTTTGTCATAGAACTCACTTGTTTGTTCAACATTCTTGTTTCCTTTTATTTTCAAGATCTGAGAATCATCCAGTCGCTTTCAATACAGCTATAAAGGGCGCGCAAAATGATATTCGAACTCACATTAAATTCTTTTAACACTAAAAAAAAGCACAGGACACGGTGTTAAAAATCTTCTACATAGGTTATTGGCTCTCTTTTTAGTAAGTGTAAAGTTCACTTTTAAAGCTTTTGAGGCGGAGATGATTGTGTCCATATGAAGGGCTCAGTCTGTCTGTCAGTCTCTAAGGATGTGGCAGCTCAGGGTGTTCTTCCCTTTCTGAGCACCATAACAGGAGGTAGAGAGGGAACCACATTCTGATGGAAGTAGTAAGAGTGTTTTTATAGCCTCTTGTTGCTACCTGACTATCCCATGTAAATCAAGCCTCGGTTATGATGCTGGCACTGCTGCCCCCTGCCGGCTGCCTGATGACATGCGCGTGCACAAGAGCACTGAGCCTGCAGTCCTAAGGAGGCTGTCCTAAGTTTTAGTGTCGTGTGTTTTCAGACGAAATGGAGATTCTGACTACAGCGACGGAGAGGAGGATTTCTACTACTCTGAAATCGAGGTCAACATGGACACTCTTTCGGAGGGGCTATCCAACCTCACGCCCACCTCTCCTACTTCGTCCGGGCCGGCCCCCGTCTTCCCCGTCCTGACTTGTGATGTGTCTCGGTCTGAGCCCGCCCGCATGATCCACACCCCACTCAGCCAATCAGCACCGTCGGCGCTGTGTCACATCCGCACTGACCACGCTTACCAGGTAACATCGCTCTTCACTGCGTCTAGACATCTTATTGAACACACACTCACTATCTCTATCTGCACTCATTGGAGTGTGTGTGTGTCATGTAATGGGTTTAAGGTTTAGTGATTAAGTCTTCATGCACACTCTTCTTTTGTCAATCTGTATTTACTTTGAGAACATCATATTCTTTCAGATCCCCCACGCTAAATATCTGTTTTAGATATTAATGCAACTCTAATCTCTCACCATGAGGGTCAGAGTCAACAAAGCTTTATTATTATGACTATAAACCCCAAATCAAAAGAAAGAAATACGATATTATATTTTGTTTGAAGAATATGAAACCTCATTTTGCATTATTTTCATGACAATTAATTGCAGTTTAATTATATACTCATTAGGACGTGTTCACCCAAAAATTCTCACCCTAATGTGGTTTCAAACCCAGAATCCTTCTGTTCATCTTTGGAGCAAAAATGAAGATATATTTTAATATTTCTGTCCATTCATACCAAACCTTTGACAAAAAATACATCGTAAAAATAATCCATATGAATCAAGTGGTTGAATTCAAGTCTTCTAAAGAGACATGATCGCTTTGTATGAGAAACAGATTTAGTCACATATGAACTATGCATCATTTTGTTTTTGGCAATGGATGGGCAAAAATGATAAGAGAATATTAAAAATATCTTATATTATAAATATGACATTTACCTAAACCTCATTGAATTTTGTTAGGTTTACTTTATTATTTAAAAACCATTTGCCAAATCAGTAAGAAACCCTAATTCAATATATATTCTTGCAAGTGCACTGTTTTATGGATGTTTAGACATTTTGACAGGACTTTCTTGGGAAATTCTGTCCCAAACTGAATGAATGACTTTTCTGAAATCTTTCAAACGGTCGGAGATTTATATATTTGACCTTTGCTCGCGCACCATATTTAGGGCTCTGTTCAATATCAAAGCCAGACTTCTGTGTACACACGTGTCTCTTTAATTGCTGGAGTCTATTTTGCTGATGTATTATGGGCCAGTGTGATGAGGTCAGCAAAGGCCGTGGTTTCAGGACCAGGTTGGATAGGATGAGTACCAGACCGTCTCATTTCTAATGGCTTGTCATGATCGAATCTTTGAGGCAGCTCTTCTTGGCTATCGCTGGGTTGTGGTTGTACTTAACAGTGTTTTCTCTTCCTCTTTCCGCTGGCTTTGCTAATACCGCCTCTCACACACACTGTTTTTCAGGCTACAACCCCTGTCAGCATTCCCAGCATGCCCTCTGAACCGCCTCACAGTGAGGATAGGATTAGTGTATCCTGGCAGTCGCCCCCTGTCATATATAACGGTCTACCGGTGAGATGGCTACTTTCTTTCTCTCTTTCTTGTTTTCTCACAGTCTCTCTCTCAGAGACTCAGTCAACAGCGTTTATCATCTTGTGAAAGACTGAGCTCACTAGACGTTGAAAGGGCAGTGATCCTGTCTCATTTGTCACTCCCAGCTTGTCTTTCTCTGTCTCTTGGGGTCTTTCAGAAGTTGCACTTGCATGACTTTTGGTTTCCTGTCTCAGATGCTTTTGCAAAACGCAGAAAGTAGCTTCCAAACCCCTGTTACAGGTTGACAACTGCAGAAATCTTACACTGCCTGGCCAAAAAAACAAAAAAAACAGTCGCTGTTTTGATGTAAATAAGCAAATGCTTAAGAGTCTATGATTGGATCATTATTGCTGTGAGTATTATTTTAAATATTTGGCAGCAGTTCTTCTAACCCTAATTGATGGAGTGTGTAGCTTTCATTTATTAAATAACCATATAGGAAGACCCATCATGGCCATATTCCAGGATGACAATGTCAAGGTCCATCAGGCTCAAACTGTGAAAGAATGGTTGGGAGAATGGCATGAAGAATCATTTTCACACAAGATCTTGACCAAAAATGGATGCACTTCTTGATGGAAATCAAATCACAACATTTATTTTCATCAAGAGGTGCATAAATTTTAGGTCATATCTTGATGAATTTTAAGGTCTGGACTCAATTCATGTGTGAAAATGATTCTTCATGCTCCCTCACAACCCTTCTTTCACAGTTTGAGCCTGATGAACCTTGACATTGTCATCCTAGAGTGGCCATGAATCTAAACACTCTAGACTGAGTAAAAAAGAGAAGATGAACAACAACAATTACTTTTATAACCTGGCATTAAATACAGGGTTTCCGCGGGGTCTTAAAAAGTCTAAAAAAGTCTAAAATTTCAAAATCACAATTTAAGGCCTTAAAAAGTCTTAAATTTGCTGAAGTATTGTGTTCTAGGTCTTAAATCATTTTAAACAGGTCTTAATTTTCCTACGTCCAAGTAAATCTCATTGAAATGCTCCCGCAGCGCTTTCGAATGTTTTTTTATTTTTATTCCGTGGTGTTGTAGTTCCTTAGTTCGCTAGTCCAAATATAATTCGCTGTATTACGACTACAAAATAGACCAACATGCAACAGCCAATCAGCTTTCGTGTTATTGGCGCGTGTCTCAGATACCACAGACAGACGTAAAACGGATTTTATTCAGCTAACGTTATGGGGAAGTGCAAGTTTAGCGATACTTGGCTTGAAAAATCTGAATTTCGTGCTTGGTTAAAGCCAGTTGCAAACAACATATTTGAAGCCTACTGCTTCTTATGCAAGAAAACTATTAAATTGGGAACGTTGGGTGTACGGGCGCTGGAGTCACATGCAAAAAGTGATAAACATCTAGCGCTAACTGCTGTGAAGGGTCTCCAGCAAACGACAGCCATCAGCCAGTTCTTGCAAGTATCTGGCGGCTCTAGCACTACTTCTACTACACTGCCTAGGCAAGGCCCACACATTAGCTCCGCAACTCCCGCAATCGACCTCCGTGTTTGCCTTTGGATCAGAGCCAACACTAAAAGCGGAGGTGCTCTGGGTTCTCCACACGGTGACAAGACACTAGTCCTAAAGTGCAAATGAGGAAATCTGGAAATTGTTTCAAACGATGTTTCCGGGCTCTGACATCGCTAAATCCTTCAGGTGCGGGAAAGATAAAACAGCCTACATTACGTGCTTTGGAATAGCGGATTTTATAAAAACAGAACTAATTTCCAAAATCACGGGACCGTTCGTGCTGATGTTCGACGAAAGTAACTTACTATGTTCAGTTTGAATAAATTAAATTACTTGGCAAGTAATTTTGAGACTCTGCGTTTCCTTTGTACGTTTTTTTTTGTCGTGATATAGGTCTTAAATTTCATTCATAATGGTCTTAAAAAGGTCTTAAAAAGTCTTAAATTTGACTTTGTAAAACCTGCAGAAACCCTGTAAATAATTTACTGTTTGAATTGTGTATTTATGTGTTACTGTTCAAAAGCTTGAGGTCTATTAATACTTTTATTCTAAATTGATCAAAAGTGCGAGTAAAGACATTTATAATGCTACAAACCATTTCTATTTCAAATAAACGCTGTTCTTTGAAACTTTCAAAGAATCCTGGAAAAAAAAATGTATCACGGTTTCCACAAAAATATGAAGCAGCACAACTGTTGTCAACATTGATAATAATCAGAAATCTTTCTTGAGTATCAAATCATCATATTTGAATGATTTCTGAAGGATAAGTTGACACTGAACTGAGTTAATGATGCTGAAAATTCACAGGAGTAAATTACATTTTAAAATATATTAACTCTTTCCCCCGGCATTAACTGAATTTTTCGGCAATCAGTGTTTTCACTGTTATACGGTAGGGGGCGCTATTACACATCTTCTGAAAGAGTAAAGAATCTCATGATCAAAAACACATGTGAAGAAGAAGCAGAAACAAGTGTTAGGCCCTGTCCCAAATGGCACACTCCGAACTTGTGGACTTCCTCAGAGTCCACACTTCGGTGACGTCATGTAGTGCAGACCTAATAGGGCCCTTAGCGAGTCCGCGAGGGCGCATTGAGAGGTATTTTTGGGACAGACTCGATCGTCACGGCAGAAACAGGAAGACGGTCTGATTGTTGTTATGGACAGGAGCTACAGGTTCGGGGAAATATGCTGCCGATTGTTGTTGTGTTTACATATACTCAGTAAAGCCCTGACCTTCAGTTCTATTTATTTAATGAATCATAATGCGATCGTATTATTCAGCTCGCTATTATTAGCCTATGTTTGAGACTTCAACCACTGGTCGATGATCAAAATGTTTGTATAAACTTGTCATAAAAACCGTATTGATAATTACACTTAAATATTTTCTTCTCAGCCATGTTAACAATTGTCCGTGAGCGAAATCTCCTCCCATCCGTTGTCTGATTGCCCTTTCGCAAGGATTCCTGGGTAGTTAAAGTGCGTGGAGCCTGCATCTACGTGGGCTTCGCGGGAGACCGCTTCAAGGGTACAAAGGGGGCGCTGCTGAGCACACTTCAGAGCGCTAAAATGCTAAATGGGACGGCCTATGGACTCGTAGACTCGGCTGAGCACGCGCAATTTAAGTCCACGAGACCGAAAGTCCGCATGAAGTGCGCCATTTGGGACAGGGCCATAGAAGCATTGCTTACGCACATGTAAAATAATGTGATCATCAGACATTAACCAGCATATAAGTTTTAAACTGCCTAATGTTACTGAATGAAATGTCGACCCTTCTTAGCTTTTTGCTCAAAATGTTGCTTTTTTATTAAACTTACCCACATTCAAGAGTTGATAAAAAAAAAGAATGCATGAAGCTAGAATAAAACGGTTATTTTAAATGGTATCAAAAACATTCGGAAATCTTGCCGACCTCAAACTTATGACCGGTAGAAGTGTCAGCTGTGATGTAAGCATGTCTTCACTTGTGTTTTCGGTTGTGCTTTTGTGTAAGACAGATAATCCTTCAACATATAATGCCTTTGCAGGGCCCGATGACTCAAATCCGCACTGTGAGCATCGGAGAGAAGAGACAACCTGTTAACCACACCACTGTCAACAAAGCACACACCAACAACACCTCCGCTTCCAAAGCCACCACTGGAACCAGGTAACCCGTCCGCCGGGCTCATGCCTGCATGATGATTTTGGAGCCTTGCATCACAGCTAACCCAAACTATGTGAACTCTTCCCCCAGGAAACCACGCGGCGAAGCCAAGAAGTGCCGAAAGGTGTACGGCATGGAGAAGAGGGACCTGTGGTGCACAGCGTGCCGTTGGAAGAAGGCCTGCCAGCGCTTCACTGACTGAGCTTTATCCTTTAGCCCGCTTCGAAACGTGCTCTTTTATTGCGCCTGTTCCACGGACTGAGCACCGAAATCTCCTGCACACTCTCACAGGGGGACTTGATGAGCCGTCTGAGGCGTGTGGCCTTTTAAACGTCACTCATTCCTCCAGGCCACCAGGGGGTGCTCTTTTCCTACCGCTTCCATAGTGGGACAACGAGACTGCTATTCAGAATAAAAAACTGATAAAAAGCAAAAAAAAGAGGAAAATACTTTGGGGGAAAAAAAGCTTATTGGCTTTTGCTGCAATTGCATATTAAGGCAAAAACAAGTTACTTTTTCATAATGAAACAATCAAAGCAGATTTTTCAGGCAGTTTATTTTACTTTCATGTTTTCCCGGAATACAGCAAACGATTTTCCATGATTTTAAGTGTGGCAGACTTTATACATAGCAGTTTTTTTAACTGTTAAAAACTCTGTAAGCTACTTGGACTGGGTATTGAGTATTTTAAACAGTTAACCCTCTCACACGAGAATCTGAAAACTCATTTACGCTTCAAAATCAAACTGTTTCTGGACTCACCGCTTTATTTTGCCTACAAGCACTTTGAACGGCCATTGAAAATCATTTCGTTTTCTATTTCGATAAAGCAGTGCAGTTTAGCATTGGAATCGGCGCATTCGCGTTTCCGCTAAATAGTCGAGAACTGTTTCGACACACATCGCTAAAGTAATACCTCTAAACAAGAATGAGCCTTACAGAGAGAGACCTCGGTGTACTTCAGCGCGAGCAGCGCGAGTGCAGGAATGTAAAATGGCCTCTCTCTGCGCTTACGCACCCAAACCATTCTGTCCCTCACAGATCAACTGCCTCTTTATAAGCTACGAGGTTTATTCCTGTCAGTCCACAGTATTAATTGAATGGCAGGCACTTTAACCAGTCACACTTCAGATTTAACCGTCATCCCAACAGGACATCCCAGGCTAATGTGATCCATAAATCAAGTGTTTCCCACACAAACACACATTGCAGAGTCTTTGTGGCAATTTCGGGCCAGATTGTGCTTCCTAAGGAACTATTCGCTTCTCGTTCAGCTTATGGGTATTATTCACGTTAAGGAAACGCTTGCTCTGATAACATGTAGATGTCTTCCACTGTGCTTTCTTTTCATATGGAGGTGATCATGTGATGTCTTCATGTAAACAGACCCTCTCAATATGAGCCAAGCAGCTCTGTGCTGTTACACTGCCAAAAATGATTTGCTTTGTATTTTTGACGTTTTCCATTACTGATATCTAAAAACTCTTGAATCAAGATACACTTACTTAAGAATGGAAATGACCTGATGTTAAGTCTTAGTTTCTGAAAAATATATTTCAGAAAAGCAATATGCTTGTTTTAAGCTAAAACTCACTTGATGTTTTTCTGAAAACATGACGATTAAATTATGTTGCTTCTCAAGTAAATATATCTTGATTTAAAGCAATAGTTACTCACTCAGTAAACGATGACAGCTTTTTCATTTTCTTAAACTATAACTTTAAGAACGTTTAGATATTCATACTGGAAAACAAAAATACTGAGTTCGAAAATCCTTTTTTTTTTTTTTGCAGTGAAATGAAACACTGATAGTCATTGGACATGTGAATGTGATCTGTATCATTAAAGGGATAGTTCACCCCTAAATGAACATTCGGTCATTGTTTAGTGACCCTCATCTCGTTCCAAATCTGTATGATTTTTTTTGTGAAACCTCACGTTGGACCCCATTGACTTTCATTGTATGGACAAAAACACCACCGATACATTTTTCGAAATACCTTCTGTGTTCCACTGAAGAAAAATGTTTTGGAACGATGAATTATCCCTTGGAGGATAAGAGTTCACTCAATTTTGGGGTGAATTATTCCCTTGAAAAGAAACTCTAATCATTTGACACATTATTTTCCGCCTTCCAGGTTGAAGATTAAGTCTTGTTTGAGCTTTTATCAGACCAAACAAAACTGGCAATCAAAATGTAGAGGTTCAAAGAAACAACTGGGCAAGTGCCTAATTGCCAAATGACCGAATCTTATCAATCAAAGTATATTGTCCAATCACAGCTTAGAGCAGCTTTGTCTTCTCTTTAGTGGTCATGAAAGGAAAGAGCGTTCCTTTCATCATCGTAACCTTCACTAAGTGCCAATGAGAAGAACAAGAGGGGAAAAATGTAATTGCACTAACTTGTACTGCACAAAACGTATATTTTTGATGTACCGTTTTTATACGCAGAAATTGAAGTTTTTAAAAAAAGCGAAATCGCCGTGCTTCTCTTCATCGGGTCAGGGACGGGGTCTTTCCGCTGACCTCGCAGCTATAAGCTTACGTGGCGGTACTTTACGGGCTCGCGGTTCATGACGGCGACTGCAGGCCTTCAGCCTCGTTTTTAGGGAACGTCACTGTCTTGATCTATACGAAAAATCCCTTCTCATCCTTTTTCTGCATGGGAAAAGAGTCATGGGACGATTTTAGGCAACAAAAATCAGGCGGTCAGACAGTGACGCGTTAAATACGTTTATAAATTTCAAGGCTTCTTTGCCAAGACTTTGATAATATAATAGTAAAATCATAAAGAGTGAAAATACCTTTTTTTTTTTTTTTTTTTTTTTAATGATCATTGTATATTTTTTTGGGGGGGGGGGGTAGCATGAATGAATGTAAAAAATCTACAAAAATGAAACGCCTATGATCTGAGTTCGTTTTATCTCACATAAACTTCTTTCGGTCTTTTATTTTCTTTCATATAAGTAGTGTTTTTTTTCTTGCGTTTTCATTTTCAGTTGGCGCTTGCATCGATGCGTTTTATACGCGATCACGGTGTGTGTGTGTGTGTATGTATTATTGTGAGGCAGGAGGGACGTTGCTATGTGGATCATTGCGTCTTCCTGCCCTGCACATTCCGATAGATGACTTCATGTTAGTTCGTCTGAACCTTTATCTGTCTTTTCCCAGTTATTCTAACTTCACTGAATGCCTGTTGCTTCTTCAGCCAGGATATTAAGCTAAACAACCAAGAAAATGTGTATAAAAAAAACTCCACTTACTCTCTTTGTAACTTTCGAAACATTTCAGAGTTCAAAAAGCATCTTTACAATAATCCCGCTATTCAATACAGCTTTAACATAAACATACATCATACGATTCTGTTTAACTGTTGAGGACTTGTCATTGTGTCAAGCCCTTTCACTTTTTCATTGTTCATCGGATGAGATTTGATGCATGTCTTGTATCATCTTTGTACTATCTTGCTTTATTGGAACCATTATTGTTTTTCAGAAGTTGACAGTGACAGTTGAGTGAATGAAGGAGAGGATGGAGGTTTTTCTGGTGTTGACTTCGTTTGGTTGGTTGGTGATGAGTGTGTGATTTCTTGTGGCTGTAATGTGGAGATTGAAATAAACATGGATTTCAGAAAGATGTTTGAGTTGGGATTAGATTTTTTCTTTATTTGTGAATGCTGAAAATAATCTCCAATAAATGGTTCTAGAACGTCTTCACCAATGACTTTTGTAACATTTCGTTAAAATGATATAATGTTTCCACAATTACTTACACTACCGCTTAAAAGTTTAGTTGGTAATGTTTTTGAAAGACGTTTCTTGCGCTCACTGAGACTGCATTCATTCGATGAAACGGTGTACAGTGAAAAAAGTAAGTTTTCTATGTTAATATATTTTAAAATGCAATTTATTCCTGTGATCAAAGCTGAATTTTCATCATCATTACTTCAGTGTTAATCTGAATCATTCGTTTTTTTTATTTCATATTGAAAGTAGAAAAATTAGAAAACGGTTCCTTTTTCATTTTTTTAATTTAAAAGAAAAACTAGAATTCAGCTTGATTTTTCATTCCGAAGTAGTGGCGTTTCATTCCCGCCCACGTGTAGAAATCGAATATGCAAGCTGTTTATTCATTTTCCTACCTCAGAACGAAAAATCAAGCCGAGTTGTTTTTATTATTATTGCGAAACGAAAAAGGAACCGTTTTCTCATTTTCTACTTTCAACATGAAATACAAAAAAAGTCACATTATCCTTCAGAAATCCTTCTAACATTCAGATTTTTTGCTAAAGAAACATGTCTTCTTATCATCAATGTTGAAAACAGTTGTGCTGAAATTCAGCTTTAACTGAGACTATCAGGATCATAATCATTATCATCAACTACTATCTGATTGTTTGACCATAAATGCTGGTTACAATGGAAAGTTACCAGTGTGGTTTAATAAAATCAGTTACCAATTTATGTAACTGAAAAAAAGAAACATGTCGTTAAAAAAACTATTTTATAAAACAACTGACAACTCACACACTCCCAACAAATGAATCCTTGAATGAGGTATTAAACATGTACACAAAACCAGCGGTTCAGTCACGAGGTTCCCCATTGACGAGGTTCGACACTACTGCATCTTTAGGGAATATTCCACACTAATCTCAGATAAAAACAGATGCCAGACAGAAAAGGAATCATGGGAAGTCAGTGGTATGTGATTCTCCTCCAGTCCAGTGTGTGGTGCTGTAGTTCAGACCAGCAGTGGGTTATCCAGCACTGCTACTCCTGCAGCGACGCCCCCATCAGCGTGCTCGGAGCTCTTGGTCCTCAGCAGGTGGCCCACACATTCATTAAACACCACGTCTTTGCCTTTCCTGTGTGTGTGAAAAAGATGCAGTGATTTGCTGTGACACGGTCTAAAAGGGTTGTCCATATTCTCTTAATGAGTAATGGGTGTGTGTTGGGCGTAACGTGCAATAAACCAATCAGAGTCTCATCTCCCATTCCCTTTAAAAGCCAATTGCGCTCGCACCATGGCGGATTCGCTATTTAAATGGTGGAATTTGCAAGCGAAAAAACGAAACGGATCTGCTCGTGCGTGAGGTTAAAGCGCGCTAGCAGACCATCTATGGGACAAAGCGTACGCGCCTTGTGGACCCGCCTATAGGCGCACATTACGCTATATATTGCGCCATTGACTTTAGACCAGGTTTTCGTTGGTCAATGGTGCAGTCAATTTCAGTTTCCTCAAAATAGCAACGCGCCAACAATGCGCCCGAACACACCTCGTTTTCAGACCAGCACGCCCATGGGCGCACATATGCATTTGCTATTTAAACAACGTGGCGCAGGATGGGAAAATGATAACTGCGTCGGGCTGAAACAAGCAAAACACGCGCCCGCGTCCACTTGCGTCGTGATTTCATCGGGTGTATGATAGGGCCCTGTGTTTTTAAGATGTATGTGTTTTGTTGAAGCACTGATCCCACCTGACATACGCTCCGAACGCGCCCAGTTCACTCAGACAGGAGTTCAGTCTCAGAGGAGCTCCGGGCCGGAGCAGGTAGTTCTGGACCGGGACGGGCTGGATCTTGTCCATCAGGATGTAGGCTGTCCTCTCACTGGAGTTCTTCATGTTCTTCAGCACCTCACAGATCTCACTGCCGTAAATGTTGTTGCCTGCGACATAGGAAACCTCTGAGCTAGTGTTTGTGATGTATATGCGAGCGAGTACACAGGACATGACTTGTGAATACTCACCTCCTCCCTCCCTCTGAGGTTTCAGCACATACTGATCAGGATTGGCCAAAGCCATTGCTACCGTTTTATCACCGTCTTCTCCCTGTGGAAAGACAGGTCGTCCATTTAAAAACGGTTTCATAAAAATGGAATAAAAAAATACCGTTGAGTAGTCAACAGTGGTATTCAAGCCTGCTTCTGACGTTCAAACTTTCTAAAAGTTTAGTTCCTAACAAGGTTAGCATATCATTATAATAAAAATAAACTTTTATGTCATCATTTCTGTGCCATTATTTGTTCCACAATCAACAGCCAACAGGTAGCAGATACGAGCGTTGCAGTGTGCGTAGAAATTGTGTGTGCTCTAACCATGTGACCGCGGCTTTATGAAAGCGATTGTCGTTGTTGATCTTTGTAGCCAATCACAGACATCTATGTTGTCATCTATGACATCTATGTTTAAGAATTTCTTCGACAGCGCTCAAAATGAGAAATGCTGGTATCGTCATTTTTAAATTTCAGTATTTTTGACAACACTACACTACTTAGTGTTCTGTTGATTCATTGGCTACTGTATAAGAGTTTGTTTGAAGTGCTTCATTAGAGTTGGATCTGATCATAGGGTCTGTCTACTCGTCTACGTCTACAGTGTTGTTGCTCTACCATGTCCAGGGTGTACAGCCCAGCGAAAGTGGCCCGAATCTGAGCAACTGCTTCAGGTTCGTCAGGGAAGAAGCGCTCCAGAACCCCCGGCCGGGCCAATTCCTGCTGCACCTTCTTAGTTCCAGCGAGATGGGTACTGATGTCGGGACACTTCACCGCCAGAGAGCGCTCCATCATCAGACGGGCCTCCCAGCTCTGAAACATACGGGTTTGATTCACACTCAACACTCAAAACGGATCACACCACATACATTTCTAAGAAGAGGAAAATAAAGCCATGTCCTCACCCGCTCTGAGGTGTAGTTTTGGGGCATGTATCCGTTACGGAAGTAAACAATGGCTATCTCACGGCCATCTCTGCAGGAATTGAAAAATTAGACCTTTATTGACATGTTTGTGAAAAAATAGTCATGTAAATGTTTTGACTAGGGGTGTAACAATACCCTCATGTCACGATTCAATACATATCACGATACGATATTATTGCGATACTCCAATACATGATTAAAGGTTAACAAAAAAATGCACTGTTGATTTAAATGCTAAATTTGGTATAACATAGTGGGTGTAAATGAATAGGCTTGGACTTGGCGCTGGTAACCCAATGCACAGGACAATATTGACACCAGATTAAAAATATTCATGATTCTGAAACTGAAAATACAGAATTATTGTAGACGAATGCTTGCACTCAGTCACTCACTAGATATATTTAAAATAATGTAGGCCCCTTTTAACTGGTAACATAAGACATTTGGCATTATCAGAAGCCACAAATATTCCCCCATTGCATTATTATACATTATATTCAACATTATATGTAGTAGTTTAATGTAGTACTGACACCAAAACTCTGAAAACTTCCACGATACATATCGTTGCATTTTTGTATTGCGATATATTGTGCCAGTATATTGTAACACCCCTAGTTTTGACTAAACATTGCTCTCAAGTATTCAGCAATGCTAATATTAATGTGTTGGACAGATGAGAAATGTGTGATATTGAATCACAATCACTCACACAAAGAGCCTCTTGCTCTGATCCAGAGATCCGGTTCTGCAAACATCTTCAAACTGTCTTCTTATTACAGGAATATTTCTGTACATATAACACAACAGATCATCACTTTTGCCCCTATAAAAGATGCTTTGCTTCACAAACACCACTAATTAACATGTATTATTAATAACAGGCAGCGGAATACGTATAGACATTACGTACATTTTACTTACGACTGCTACTCAGTACTTACTAATGTAGTTTTATAGTAGTTACACTAATGTAAAATAACTTGACCCTGAATTCTGATTATAGCAAACTCTCTGACTACATACTGTACCTTTTCCACAGCTCATTCTCTATGCATCGATGGTCATAAATATTCCTCTGAACATCCTCGACCAGAAACATAACCACAGCCCTGTAAAGGACAACATCAGTTGTGAATAAAACAGCCTTGGTAAGCAGACGAGACTTCATTCAACAACACTGGAAAGTGTCACCGACCCCACACTTTCTGTTTGTCCAACTCAAGGCAGAAAGTTTAACACACCTCTCAGATCCATAGAGCTGCCAGGCCTTGGCCAAACCTCTCGCCAGACCTGCTGCTGGGCTGTTGTCGAGAACGCGATCACACTCCTCTGGCAGGTTTGCGACCTTCAGAATGTGTCTTACAGGATTGAGAAACAGTGGATCACAGCACTGACGATAAACATCACTCAGTAATAAACCAGTGCATCATTTTAATACACAATCTCCTCTAGGGAAGTTACTTTTTAGAGCTGTTCGGAGATTCAATTGACCTATGGCTAAGCCACGCCCCCTCCACTCACTCGGACAAACAGTCAACATTCGGTGACGGGCGCTATGGCAGCTGTCACAGTAGGAGACATTTCACAGGAGGCAATTGATGATTTTTGGAGACAGAAAGATTATATATCATCTCGAAGTCACCAAAAGGGCATTAACTATTCATTTGAGGGTTATATTAATAATTTTATTGTTGAGAAGGTCGATGAAAAGCTTCAGCTCCAGGCAACAATGTACAGGTCACAGTGTAAACCGCATCTCGTTGCCATCACCATCTCAGACAACAAGATAGAGGATCAGGATTGTTCATGCGCTGCAGTATTTACATGAATCATTCAGCACAACATTGCTAACATTTGTTATCTCGGTTATTTACAGATACGTTAATGAAGCTAAGTGACATGATGTACAACGCAGCTAGAAGCTAACGTTAACGTTTTAAGTTAACGTTACGTTAGAGATGTTAAAAATAACGTTGTTGACTTGGAACAGATGTAGACATCCTTGTTTAATTTATCCACGTTTAGTTGGTGTTGTGGTCTAACGTTACCGCATAACTTAATCCAGAGCAGACACTTATCTCGGTTGAGATGTGGCTTGGGAAAGGGTAAAAAATACACACCGTCGCCCAGCCTCTCGGGATACCTAGTGTCGGAGTTGTACCCCATTGCACACCGTTTGACCATTTTAAACTTAAAATGACAAGAAAAAAACATATAACAACGGATGAAAACTGACTAACTGCACTGCATTTCAATGGGCGTGGAAGCAGAGAATGTCCGAGTGTATTGGGTTAGCTATGCGCACTGATTGGCTCATCGCTTTTGGGGGCGTGGCTTAGCCATAGGTCAATTGACCATTTTGCTCAGACTTACCGATGGACATCTGGTGTCCGTGAAGCAAGGCCGCCAAAACTTGCAGCAATAGTGTTGATTTCAATCTGCTTTAGAGATGTCCCGCCGTCTGGTCTGTGGTCCAACATGTAATCGGAGCGATTCAGGCCCAGTACTATTGACTTGGGGAAGACATGAGCTATAGTTTAAATAAAAGTATCTAAAGAACATATGCAATTCGGTTATTAATATTACTTTTATATGAAGTCAGCTGTACTACATGTATAAAAGAACATGAACAGTGAAGTAAAGGTTTCAAATGTGTAACATGGTATTTAAAAAAAAGAATGAATCAACAAACCGCTGGTAAATTGTTATACCTGGGGTGGATGTTCCTGTTGAACTTGTTTGTATATGCTGAAAAGTCTGGCTGTAAAATCGTCAACTTTGATAGTGCTGTTGAAGAATAAATAAATACATATTATATGACATATAATGCCTCTAGTGGCACTAGATGGACTTGCAAAACACTAACAGGTTTAAAAAATAAAATAAAACAATCCCGCATCTGCCATTGGTTGGACAGACAGGTTGTCCCGCCCCAAACTCATGCCATTTGCCAGTGTTACAGTGTCATGATTTCACAAACAATCAGAGCAATATTTTGATTGTCTAGATCGGACAGGAGAACATATGTTAACAAATATAATACATTTATTTTTATCACACCATTATACATTTACATGTGGAAAAGTAATTTGATTACAATTAAGCTTTTATCTGACTCCATTTTATTACGACCTCGAAATTAGGTTGGATTGCCAATTTGTTATAGGTCATTTATATAATAGTTTAGCAATACATTTGATTGTTCTATTTAACTCTTTACTCTTATTAATCGTTCATTCGGGTGCCAAAGTTGCACAGGGTCCTCGCACCGGCCATTAATATATATATTATAATGTGCAGGCCCACAATCACTAAACAGAGGTAATTGGCTAATATCTTAGACGGCCGCATTCACGCTTACTCAATCTAAGATATTTTGTGTAGCCCCCTTGGTTGTATACACTTGAATTAAAGTAACGTTTTCTTTAGACAGAGGTCTACAGAGGTCTTGATTTACTTCTAGCTTCTGACCAAGGCTGTATCTCAATACTAGTTCTACTCGATCTTAGCGCTGCGTTCGACACTATAGATCATAAAATACTCCTGGATCGACTACAAAACTACACTGGTGTTCAGGGACAGGCATTAAGCTGGTTCAGATCGTACTTATCGGACCGTTACCATTTTGTCTGTTTAAATGGGGAAAAATCGAAGATAACGTCAGTAGACTATGGAGTGCCGCAAGGATCGGTGTTAGGCCCTCTGCTATTCTCAATATATATGCTGCCACTTGGTAATATTATAAGAAAACATGGAATTAATTTCCACTGCTATGCTGATGACACTCAATTATATATTTCATCACGACCAGATGAATACACTAACTTATCTAAATTGACAGAATGTCTTAAAGATATAAAATGCTGGATGACGTGTAATTTCCTGCTACTAAATCCAGATAAAACTGAGGTATTACTTATTGGTCCAAAAAACTACCCACAAAATCTCTTACAATACAACTTTAATATAGAAGGATGTCCTGTTACCTTATCGACTACAGTAAAAGACCTGGGTGTTATACTAGACCGCAACTTGTCTTTCGAAAATCATATTTCGTATGTTACAAGAACAGCCTTTTTCCACCTTAGAAACATTGCTAAATTACGTAACATGCTATCTGTTTCTGATGCAGAAAAGTTAGTTCATGCATTCATGACCTCGAGACTAGATTATTGTAATGCTTTATTAGCTGGTTGTCCTGCATCTTCAATAAACAAGCTACAGTTAGTCCAAAATGCAGCCGCTAGAGTTCTTACTAGGTCAAGAAAATATGATCATATAACACCGATTCTATCATCTCTGCACTGGTTACCTATTAAGTTCCGTATCAATTACAAAGTACTACTACTGACCTATAAAGCCCTAAATGGTTTAGCTCCTGTGTATTTAATGGACCTTCTATCGCCCTACAATCCATCGCGTTCTTTAAGATCCCGAAATTCGAGGCTTCTGGTCATTCCTAGGATATCTAAGTCCACTAAAGGAGGGAGGGCGTTCTCACATTTAGCTCCGAAACTCTGGAATAGCCTTCCTGATACTGTTCGTGGCTCAGACTCGCTCTCCCAGTTCAAAACTAGATTAAAGACGCATCTCTTCAGCCAAGCATTCACATAATGCTTACCTTTTATACCACTGTTGAATCAGATCGACTGCATTAATATTACGAACAGCAGCTACGCTAATTATTTCCCATCTGCTTTTCTGCTGTTATCTCGGGACGCTAGTCCCGAGGTAAATAGCGTTCGTCAGCTCCAGTTTGTATCCAGCCTCTCACGGAGACTTCAGACGCTCCAACACCTGCGATGAGACGACTCGACGCCTGTGAAGAGACGACTCGACGCCTGTGAAGAGACGACTCGACGCCTATGAAGAGACGACTCGACGCCTGTGAAGAGACGACTCAACGCCGGCGATATGTTATGCCCTAAATTAATACATGATGATTAACTAACTATATTATTCTATGTACATTTCTGAAATGCACTTTCTGTAAAGCTGCTTTGAAACAATATGTATTGTGAAAAGCGCTATACAAATAAATTTGAATTGAATTGAATTGAAGGTCATGACCACTACTACAGATATAAGCCGACCAATGTACTTCTCTGATAGTAGCTTTGGTTTTGTCATGCCATGGTTTCCCACGTACACTTAACTAAAGTAACATTATATTAAACAGAGGTAAGACTCAACCTACTTAGGTTGGTCGAACAGCATTTGGAAATTCCCTTTTTGTCTTTACATCCCAATTACACTTGAATTAGTGCCAAATATTAGCCGTAACTCTAAAGTCGCAGTAGGTGTGGCCTATGCTCCAATCAAAACTGGACATTAGTCCGTTACTAATCTGACGCAGATTTGCGGTAACAATAAGCCCGACTCAATCGCCCAATGGAGGTTTTCCGATAGAACGGGTGAAGGTCTCTGCATGTTTCTGTCTTTCCGCGTGGCAAAGTAATTTGATTAAATGAAATACATTTTTTCATGTATTAACTCGTTATTTCATCTGTCTCCATAAATGAAAAGGTTTGAATGATATCTGTGCATCATTAAATGTGAGCGAATGTTTGACTATTCTTTTGAACTCTTTACTGAAAATAATGTCAGAGTCAGTTAGAATAAAATCAAATGTTAACAATTTATTATGTCAGGTAAATGTATGCTTACGCTTCACATCACGGGCTATGAGTCATTTAAAATGATACCAAACATGTATGATAATTGTTCATATTAAACCATATAGATTTTTGGGTGTATTCAGGTAGGGATGGGTGAAGGGAATGATGTGTAAATTGGGAGGTGATCAACTCAAGTGTGATCGTGTCTCGAATGGGGATGGTAATATAGCAAGAGAGTTCAAATGTAAATTTCAGAGAGTAGCCCTCTCTTCCAGTTCTTCCAGTTTTCCCAGTCTTACAGGGTACTTCAACACATTTACGTTTATGACGATTCTCTGATGTCAGTAATGCATGAAATGCAGGTAAATAAAATAAAATATTTTTTATGTTTTAGTGTTTTATTTTGATTTCTTTTATTTATTTGTTGCGAGTTTTTAGACTGAATTGATTTCTAGATTTATCAACTCACAAATCCCCTGTAGTTTCCTAGTTTAGTAAAACCCAACAATAGAGCAATTGTATGATACCTGGCCAGAGTTTCTTCTAGAAAGGTGGGATCCTGGCTCACTCGGTCCACCAACCGGTTAAAATGTGTCTGTACTGCCAGTGCCTGATGAAAGAGCGCTGCGGGCACCGGTGTGGGAAACAACGTGATCGGTGCATAACTCACCGCCTGTCAACAAACACACATTTATTTGGCATGAATGGACACCAGCAGAGCCCTTCAGTCACTCCTGATTCTCTGAGCGAGGGGTTTCTGCTCAGTATCCACTCAACGGGGCAGAACTAACTCTCCATTATCCAGAAACAAAACACGACCACAGGACAAACAGAATTCCAGACGTGACTGTGAATCAACTGCAAACTATGTGACAAGATGCCAGTTTGCTCATTTGAAATCAACTTTGCCTGTGTTTATGGAATAATTGGCTATCTAGGAGTCTTGGTTAGATCTGGGTTAGGTCTACAGTGCCACCTTACATGAGGGAAAAGAGCCGGTCACTGTCTTTACAGTGGCATGAGTTTCATTCATTTACTTTAGCTTGATTTGCAATGCAAAACTGCCCTCTGTGGGATTTTGCAGCTTGAATGAACAGTGCATGTAAATGACTAAATGACATTTCTTCCAAGCACATGAAACAATGACGTGCTCTTACTTCAGGAGAGTTTGGCGTTTCTTTGGTCCGCATCAACACCCCATGTAAAAGTGCTGTGTCTTTTGCGATCTCTTCTATATTTTTGATCAGGTTTTCATCTTTCAGGACATCCTCCAGTTTGACAGACATAGCAGAGAATCTACAATCAATCAGAATGAAACACATTGTAGTCATTATTCATGCCAAAGATTTTCCCAAGAAATTTTTATTTTTAAGTAAGATACAGACTTTCAGATAGATGCTTTTCTTTTATTGGAAAGATTATATCATGAAATGAGGATATACATTTTTGTTTATGGGTCAATGACATGACATGTATATTTTTGTGTCCAAGTGCGTTATAATTTAAAATAATTTGATCATTTCACTTTATTCTATAAAACCTATTTAGTATGAATTCATTCATTGCTGGTAAAAACTGCTAATTTCAAGTATGGGTAGGTTGGTACACTTTCCATGTCAGGTGGTACAACTAAAGTATACAACTATTTGGTTGTACCGCCTGACATAAAAAGTCAAAACATTAATTTAAACACTTTGAAATGTTATTTAACAACTGAAACTTGTTTAAACATTGTTCATTACTCAAGAATAAGTATTACATCAGTTTTGAAAAGATTTATAAAAAAAAAACACATTTTTTGAAGCTTTATTTGTCAATGAATCGATTATTAAACTTCCATCACTTGGACTTTGTACTGGTGAGAAAAGGGAAGTGGCTTTACGGTAGGCAAATCTTAAAGAGACTCGCAAATGAATGAATGAATGAATGAGACTGTACACATTATAACCCGCTGCTGCAGTGATGTAATGATCAGAAACCTGTACTCATCATGACACGGCACAACTGCACTCAACTATTACAAACAGACAGACGCACACTGAATGTCAACACTAGCTCGAGGTGTAACGTTAACTGTATATCCGTTGAGTTGTGGCATACCTGATGTTCGCGGACTCTGTTTGGTCACTCCCGTGGCACTGAAGCTCCTTGTTTACAGCGGGTCTAGGCTCAGTTCACCTGCTCAGGTTGAGATCAGAATGGCAATCATGTGAAGTGTTTCAGTCGTACTGCTGCTGCTAACTGTACTGCTGTTCGGCTCGTGCCACAGTATCCAATCAGTGAACAGAACGCTGATGACGCCACTGTGTCCACGTGCGCGCGCAGCACTTCAATCATACACAAAAAAAGAAAAGAAAAAAGAAATTAAACTGAATCATACAGAAGCTTCTTCTTCTTCTTCTTCAATGATTTTTAACGACAGCTTGCATCCTTTATGTTTCAGCATCATACCGAAGCGTTGTCGTTCTTTCTTTTTGAACGTGCTGTAAAACAAGGTACGGGACACCAAAAGACAGTTTCATGAAAGCCTTCGTTGATATTGCTTTCAGTGTTTTGAATTATACAAATATATATTACATAGAAACTATTTGATGGTTTGTAAATTGTATTTAATAGCTTACACTTTCAAGAAAGTGGTTTGTAAAAAAAAAAGAAAAGAAGTTTTTGTTGCATTTACATCAGTTTGACCAGCAGGGGGCGTGTGGTATACGAGTTTCGAGGAGATCAGTTTGTTTCATCACTAAAGTGAGCTGAGATATCTAAACACTGGTACTTCACAACTGCTGCTAGGGTCACCCTATGAGTAATGTACAACAGAAGCAGAGAAGTGCAATGCAAATCATTTTTATTCATGAAAATATAAGTGCAATCTGTTAATACACTGATAATAAAATAAGATTATTATACAATTATGATCTCTTATAAATTCCATTTGATATGTTTTTAAGATTTTAAAAAAGATTCTCAAAAAGCTGTTTACTTTGGCATGACACAAAATCAACCTGTTGTGCAGAAATTAGAAGCATGTAAAACATTTTAATGTACAGTGGGATCCAAAAGATTTAAAATCCAATTTAAACCTGAAAATTAACAGGTTTTAGGATTTCTATTACATAAAATCATTAAGATCCTGCACCTTTTTGTTAAATCAAATAAGTACATTTTTGTGCAGATGGTCAGATGTTCTCACAGATAAAGGGAGGTGGTCATTCAATCAAGGGAAAAAACAAATACTAAGCTATTCTGAAATACATGTTTATATTTTTATATTGCAACTTTGGATGTAAAGTGGGCTTTTAGAGCCGTGCAGCTTCAATGTATAGGCAAATATCAAGCGATGTGTTTTTTAAAGAACACTGATGCTGATTTGGAAGCTGATTACACCATTTGTATAGTATTTTTCAGCATTACATATTCTTTAAAAGACTATGCAGTACAGTTCTGGCAAATAACACAGTGTGTTGCTGTGTTTGCGCTTCAGGACATGAATGCACGCACACTTCCCCGAATGACCGCCCTGCATATGGGGCAGTGGCGCAGACTGGCTGCGCAGTCGGTGCAGACGACCAGATGACCGCAGGGGATGAAGACCATGGAGACGAGTTTGTCCATGCACACCTTACAGGTCCTCTCTTCCTGAAGCTGTCTCAGCTGTTCCTCTGGACTCAGATCGGATCGCACTGAAAAACACACAAATACACTGACATTTCAACTCAACCTGGGTCAATCAAGATGAGTGATTGTACCATCTGTTCCATCCCAGAGGCTAGATAGAGAGAAGAAGAAGATACACACACACACACACACACACACACATTATAAGTGCAATGAGAGCGTGTTAATATGGACCTTTCTCCCTGACTGAGACCGGCGTTCTTGACGTTCTCGGACTCTCCACAGTCTCTGAGGGAACAAACCATCCACACGTTAGTGGAGGGAAAGGCACACATCATTTTATTACATTTTTTATTTTTTGATCAACAACACATGGCTATCAACATACAGTAATATGCAAAAGTCTTAGGGACGTTAGTATTTTCACCAAAAAATGGTTTTAAGCCAGTTATTTAAATCTTTAACTGTAGTGTGTCAGTAGAAAATGTCAGTTTGCATTTCCAAACACTGCTTTTGCCATTATTTGTAATAATCCAGTGAGATTTTGAGAAAGACTAAATCCAGAAGGCAACGTCTCCAAGACTCTTGAAGAAACCTACCTTGCACATTACTGAAGGTTACATTAAAGTACTAGTTCACGCAATAACATTTTTTATTCTGTCATTACTTACTAACTCTCAAGTCACTTCAAACCTTACGCATACAAACACAAGGTGTGGGCGGAATGGAAAAGAAGCCATTATTTAAAAACATCTTGTCATTTTCTTGACAGTTCATGCAAGACAAACATATACGGAGCAATGCAATAATCAAATGTGTCCATCTAGCACTTGTTTACATAGAAAAAAAACATTAAAATTAGCGCAGTGGAACCTTAAAGGCAAATTTTGTGCAAAGAACACTTGAAAAAAATGACACAAGGGCAGCCTTTGCCTCTACAACAGATTTCTTTGCTGACCACTTTCTACCCGTTTTTAACACAGGGGCTGCCTCCCTTACACAATTGTCGCGTGACTCTACTAAGGTCATTTCCAGTCTGACCTTGGCACACTTAAACTCCTCGGTTAAAGCAGAGACTGGCCGCTGCAATATTCCTTTACTATAAAGTCCTACTCTGCTGAGGCAGCGTGGAACTCCCAACCATTTCCTGATGTATGAACTTACCAACGCTTCCAGCTTATCCACTGTTGTCAAAGAAACCTCGTACACGGTCAGTGGCCACAGCAACCTCGGCAGTAGACCAAACTGAAAGCACCAGAGTTTTAGTTTTCCAGGTAGAGCACAGCTGTTTATGCTCTTCAACCCTTCCACTGCTTGTCGTCTAACTTCTCCCACCCGAACTGTGTCCTTTAGATCCCCATCGTACCATCTCCCAAGACTCTTCACTGGCTTCTCAGAAACTGTTGGTATTGCCTCACCATTAATGAAGAATGTTTTATCTACTACCTTTTCTTTAACTATCGAGATGCTCCTTGATTTAGAGGGCTTAAATTGCATTCGTGCCCATTCAATTTTATCGGTTAACTTCTCCAATAACCGATTAGTGCAGGCTACTGTTGTAGTCATGGTTGTCATGTCATCCATGTATGCTCTGATTGGTGGTAGTCGCATCCCAGAAGCCAAGCGCTCTCCTCCTACTACCCATCTTGATGCCCTCATGATTACTTCCATCGCCATGGTAAAAGCCAGCGGAGAAATGGTGCATCCTGCCATTATTCCAACCTCTAGGCATTGCCATGCAGTGCTGAATTTTGGAGTTGAGAAACTGAATTGCAAATCTCCAAAATTGGCTTTCACTAAATTTGTTATTGACATTGGTACTCTGAAAAAATCAAATGCTGCCCAAAGAAGCTCATGTGGCACTGAACCATATGCATTAGCCAAATCCAGGAATGTCACATGGAGCTCCTTCCTCTCCTTTTTAGCTGACTGAATTCGTTGCCAGAAAACATTGATGCGTTCTAAGCATCCTGAGAACCCTGGGATGCCCGCTTTTTGAACTGAAGTGTCAATGAAGCCATTCTTTAATAGGTAGGTGGACAATCTCTGGGCAATAATGCTGAAGAAAATCGTACCTTCAACGTTTAATAGTGAAATAGGACGAAACTGACTGATGCTTGTAGCATCTTTTTCTTTAGGTATAAAGACTCCACCTGCTCTGCGCCATGCTCTAGGTACAACCTGTTTTTCCCATGCCACTTTTATCAATTTCCACAGAATTCGCAGAACTCCTGAAGCACTCTTGTACACTCTGTACGGAACTCCATTAGGCCCTGGAGATGATGAAGCCCTTGCCTTTCTCACAGCCTGCTCTACCTCTTTCCACTTAGGTGCACAGACCTCCATTTGGTATTCTGGTGGGTTGATAGGTGGTATGTCTAATGGAATTGACATAGGCTCATGCCTTTTTGTATATATACACTTACATTATATAAACACTAACTTTTATGTTAGATGCGATTAATCGCGATTAATCTATTTGACAGCCTTAATATTTTCTGAATGTTCATAACAAAAAAAATTCTATTGGTTATGTAAATTTGAGAGAAAACATTATGTGAGTGTTACTTTTAAATGTTCTCGGAATGGTCAGAAACAAGTAGTTAGTAACATTAAAAAATGTTAGACAAACATCTGACGTTTCAGAAAAAAAAGTGTTTCATGAAGGATGTATAAACGCTCAGTCTCAATGCTCTACTAACATTACTGCAGAGAACCTTGCCAGAGCGCCCTGAGAACGTTCCCTGTGAGCTTCACTGCCATTATACGGACTTCTACAAGCTGAATTTCTTTTTTTATTTCTCCTTTTGTGGTAAAAAAAGAAAAGAAAAGAAGGGCATGTGGCATTGGAACAACACCAGGGTAAATAGTAAATAATGACTGAATTTTTCATTTTGGGATGAACTATGCCTTTAAGTAATGTAAACATTATGTTAACTTCTTTTAGGTTATGAAATTTGTTCTGTTTTGAATGTGGGGTGAGTTTGTAAACACCTGGTCTGGGCTCCCCGGTCTGCCTCTCCTCCTCCTCCTCGGCCTGCAGGACGTCGGTCACCAGGTCAGACACTGAGATGTAGTGTGAGCCGGTCAGTAAGAAGCGTGACTGTACCAGACTCTCCACTAGGGAGCACTGGAAGCCCATCTGCAGCACCGGCTGCACCACCGGAGACAACATGGCTGCCGCCACTGAGCTCTGCCCACCCAACACCTCTGCCAGCAGGAACACAGACACGCCAAACGGCTCTTTAAGGGTGTAGTCATTTGCGTAATGCAATAAAATGTTGGGTATTTTCTTAGTCCTCGCAAGTAGAAGTAGAAGCAGAGCTTGGGTGTACAATATATTACTCACACTCTTAGGAGAAACGGTTCTATACAAAACCTCGACGGGTTCTTTCAGGTGCAGATTGAATCATTTTAATTTATTCCTTTGGGTTAATGACATTTTATGAATTAAACAGTTTGTAAACATACTTTATCACTAGAAAATTTTGAGATAACCCATTAAACATGAAAGTATTATGCAGTCTCTTCTCCTTATATATAACACTTCCTTCTAAGAATGAGAGCAAAATATTGCCAAAGGTCATTTATTCTGTGATTTATGCAAAGAATCAGTTCAGGTATGTTTGTTTGCCAGCAGCTTGCAGTGATTTAAAGCTTCAAAAATCACAAAAGAGTTGAAAAAGAGTTAGAGTTACACTGATCATTGTTAGTTGGTGAGGACAGAGAAGAAGAGAAGATCATTTGTCTGGGTGAAAAGAAAATTGTGAGAGCTGGAACAATTATAATAATGCATAGCAGCAATGAGCATTAAACGCAACCTGATATTATATCCTGCTTATTACACGGCTCTTTGCTCAAAGAATAAATACAGGGAATATTGTTTTTTTTTATATATTGAATATTGAGACAAAACACAATCAACTGCTATGTTGGAAAAATGGATTTCCAGGACAAGCTGTAATGTGTCATGGACAATGGTTATTATTCAGAAATAACTGATTGCTAAATGCTGTGAATGACCAATCAGAATCAAATATTCCAGAAAGCAGTGTAATAAACACACATAAGAGTCTGTTTACCCATAGAACACAAGCACGACGCACAGCAATGGGACATTTGACGGGACATTAGAATTGCAGACTACTTAAAATCGGGGGTTTTCAAACTGGGGCCTTTGGACACAGCGGCCACAGGGGGAGCTACGGGCTCTTTGGAAGATTTAAAGCCTAAATTAAATTTTTTGGGCTTTTATTATGAATATGTTAGCCTTACTGTTATCTATCAGCTATGTGCTCCAAAACAATGACAAATTCGCATTTAGAAGATATAAGCATTTAAAACTTAGTGTCTCACTTCTGCCGATATGGCTCAATGATTTTGATGACATCACTCTGCACTTCTGCTTCTCATCAGATTTTCTGTCCAATCAAATGCTCTATAGAATCTGAAGCGTCCCGCCTCCTACATAGGGCATAGGGAACGATTCAGACCGTGTAAATATGCTTTCCATTGGGGCGAATGAAGCCAGGTTTCATGTTAGTGTCACGCGAACCACAGCAGCTCCGGTCCAGAGACACGACACACAGAGCGGATCAGATGCACAAATCGGCGCAGATCAGGAAACGTATCGGACCCATTTGAATTCTGCACAAATGCTATTTTAAAGTGATATGGGGAGGTTTAGGAGGAAACTGCGGCTTTACCGAGCTCAACGGCTCTGGCCGAGCTGTCAATGTCAATGAGCTGTGATAATAAAAAAGAAACACTATTAGATTTTTAAAAAAGGGTGAGGAGCTGTTCGATATGTCCTGCCCTGTATTCCTGTTTCAGTAGAAATTAAGTCAACACATTGAAAAATCTCTTTCAAAAGTTGGTGTTTTCAGGCCGCAAAAACGCTGTTGTCGTGTAAATGAACGGTTTTAATTTTCCGTTTTTAGTAGGTTTGCTTACGCCTGCTTTTTTAATAAATAAAAAAAGGATTATATTGAAAAAAATTGAAATTGTATGTCTAATATCTATTTTGTTTTTGAACACAGTGACTGCCATTATACGTAGCAGGATCATCATATTCGGGGGTCCTTGGCATTTAAACATTTGAAAACCCCCGCCCTGTTACACCTTTAAAAGAATTGATGGCGTGACTCACCTGATGTAATGTTTCCTGCAGTTGATGACAGAGATCCACCCTTTAAAACAAAATAAAACATTTAAAGTCCACGGCAATCATTGCTGTCAAATTTACCATAAACTAATGGTTAGATGCATCATTATTACTTACCATTCTCTCATTCATGCTGAAGTAAGACTGCTGGATATTGCTCACATATTCCCATCCTCTGGATTGAAGCAAATATTCACATCTTTGGAAGCACATGATAGACCAAATTAATAATGAGCATTGATGCACTAAAATCAATAAAACATCATCCATTCGTGTTTGTAATATGCCTCTTTAGTACTTTATTTTAATGTGAGATACAAACCTCCTGATTTAAGTAGAAATAAAAGAGAAATAATCCAGCACTAACCGTGGAAACCATTTGGCGTGTTCCTCCCATGGGTCATCACCTGGTTCCCAGTTCCTCAGACCACCATCACAGAAGAAACACTTCACATTGTCACCATGACCTAAGAAAATGACGATCACTTATTGCCATCTACTAAAAAAACACTATGTTAAGAGAGTAAAATATATGAAATGGCATGAAATCATCTTTGCCATTTCTATTCAGTTTTGAGTTCCAACTAAATGTTCTTTATCAGTAATAAATTTAAAGTGGTTAAAAAAGTTGAGAATTTTGAAGAGAATCTAATAGAAACATATGAACAAATAAATTAACATATAGGTTTTATTTTAATACACTTGACTTTATTTTAAAGGGATAGTTCACCCAAAAATGTAAACTCTGTCATCATTTACACTCCCTCGGGTTGTTCCAAACCTATGAGTATATCATGTTGAACATAAAAGAAGATATTTTAAAGAATATGGGTAATAACAAGACAGTTGATGGACCCCATAGCATTTTCCCCCTACTTGTTTGCTGCCGTCAGCTGTCTGGTTACCAACATTCTTCAAAATATCTTCTTTTGTGTTCAACATGATATACTCATACAGGTTTGGAACAACTTGAGGGTGAGTAAATGATGACAGAGTTGTGAACTATCCCTTCAACACCCCATTAATCGTATTGTCCTTTAATGAGAGCAAACAATGATATTGCAATTTTGAATGCATATGATTTGTATAAGGAATAGGCAGAAACACTATTGCTTTCAGAATAATGAGCGGCACGCGCTTCACTGCGCTCGCGGGCTCTCTAGTTCATTCCCTTCATTCACAGCGCGCATGACTGCCGTGCGCGTGACTGAAAGCGCAGAAAACAGAAGCAAGAAACTAAGTTTTAGTCCGAATCGAAACCACATACATGCACTCATAATTTGTATGTAAAATGTCATTTCAGTTTAATTTCTCAAAGACCAAAGTGGTCCCTTTAGTGAGTCTGAGACGGACCCGTAAAGTAGAAGCCAGCTCGCGCCAGCGCGTCGGGCTGCACAGATGCTCCCGTGGGCCAGTTGTGGTAACTGGACAACCTGGTGTCCTCGGACTCCATCTCCGGGTAGACCGCCTGGCCGGACTGCACCTGCTCGTCCATGGTCAGCCGCTGAAGTTGACTCAACAGCTGCCCATCCACAGAGTCGGACGAGCCCAGCGGAACATTGCCCACGTCCCTGCCCACCATCAAGCCGCATGTGGGGTAGTGCCTCTCGTGCTCCCCCCACGGGGTGTCTCCATGAACCCAGTGCCTCAGGACCCCATCACAGCAGAAGCACTGTACCGTGTCCCCGTATCCCAGATAGTGAAAGCCAGCCCTTGCCAGCTCAGCGGGGCTCACGGGCGCATCTCTGGGCCAGTTGGTGAAAGTCTGGAGTCTTTCCTCCTCACTGCGCATCCCGAGCCGAACCCCCTCATGTCCACCGTCTCCCCTCATCATCCCGCTGCTCGCCTTCCATAACGGGCTGTCCAAGTGAGCTCCAGCCCCCTCTCCGCTGGCCATACAGATACAGCCTATTATCCAGAGCGCCGTTTACTATAACACACACACTTCCAGAATAAGCAAGCAGTTGTTAACATGATCTGCCCATGTGGCCGAGCCCTGAATAACAAAATATACAACAGGCGCCTTTCATGGTGATGTTCTCTAAATTTCATATGTTGATGGGTTAAAAACAACCCAACCGGCAACCCTGCAAGTTATGGGTTACACATTTTAAAATGACCATGAAATTTAAATTGACCATTTTTTATGAAATAGCGGCGTTCATTATAAATGATTTTTCCGCCCACTATAATAATTATTATTATTATTTAATGTAGCGTATGTCCAATGTTGGGGGTAACTCAGTAACTTGAGTTACGTAATCAGATTACTTTTTCAATTTACAACAAAATATCTAAGTTACCTTTTCAAATAAGTAAGGCTAGTTACTTTTTCACATTTATTGACTGGCAGCTCTGTTGAGAGAAATAAAGTGAGGCGTGTGCGCTGTGTAAACATGATAGTTATTGTAGTTTTAGAACAAATGTGAACATGCACGTATCTCACTTGCACGAAAACATTCAGTATTCCTCAAAATGAAAACGCAAAACCTTTATAACTATTATAATTATAATTAAAGAATATAATTGTAACTATATTAAATTACACAAACACTTTATGTATTTAATCTCACATTATAAACGTATTTTGCTGCTGAGTATCTAAATCAACCATAATAATTTTTTTTTACTTTAGATTAGATTTAGAAATAAGAGTGTTGAACTTCCTTCCCCTTTATTTTATTGTTCTTCAATTCAATTTCAGTGCTGCCACCACATTGAAAGGCTTGTTTCAGCTGCGCCCTCTACAATACAGGCGAAGATAGGCTATATACTTTTTCTTCAGCCTGAGGCTTATTCATTTCACTTTTGGTGTGAAAGGGCCCTAACATTTGCCAAAATACTTTTTTGTTGTTATTAAGAAGTTGAACTAAGAATTAAGAAATTAATCAAGCAAGCAGATAAGCAAATATTTGGACATTTAACACTTAATTTAACACGTAATTACATTAAAGATGACTGTGAAGTGAAATTCATATTTATTTATCATAACATGATTTTGTAGGAATTGTAAACAGGCGCTAAAGAGAGTGCCTAAAGTAATTAGAGACCCCCAATTTCGAGGAGGACCCGATTCGTTACCACACCGGGCCTGGAAACTTGTCTGTTTCATGTCAACTTTAAAATCAGCTGCCACTGCCATAATTGTGAACATCTTAGCCTACATCATAAACTACTTTCTTACATAATTTAAAATGTAAAAAAAATTAACTGGTTTATTGTTTTAAACAAAATGAATAAATAATGCAAAAGTAGGATCCTCCTTTACATAATTTGTTATTATTATAGCAAAGCTTTAGAAATAATTTTTTTTACTACATGTCCCACAATCCATCACAGGAAGTACGTCATCTGGTGACGCCAAGCATAATGGCGGCTTAGTAAACCAAACGCACAAGCTTCGCAAGCGCCTTGATTTTGATCCTTAAAGTAAGTAATTGAATCAAATGTTTTCTATTTTTAATAACAGCACAGTTGAACATGTTGTTAATAACTTGGTTTTTACCCGTTATAGTCTTTTTTCTGATTTCTAGATATTTTGTTTATTGAAGGTTGCAGGCCATCGCTGTGCTCAATGCTGCGTCTTCAGTGCAAACTTGGACGATATTAATAAAACTCCCGTGCGTTTGGTCTTTGCTAGATATATATCACGTGTAATTGTATACTTACATATTTTAGCTGTGTTGTAATGACTGCACAATGCAATATGACTCAAATTCACTAAATAATACAAAATGTAAGCGCGATACATGCCACTTAGTCTTGTATTTACAATCAGTTTCGCTGTAGACATCAATCAAACTTGTCTTTTAAACATGCGTCACTGCTCATCTCAAGGCCTGGCTTTCCTCATCTTTCCAGATGGCTGGTGAGTCCTCTGAGAAGAAGGACCTGGAGAGCATAGGGAAGGAGCGGGAGTCCCGTAAGCGCAGTCGTTCTCGCTCCAGGGAACGGGAACGTAAGGGATCTCCCGGCAGAGACCGCAAACGGCACCGGTCCCGTGAACGCAAGCGCTCCCGCAGCAGATCCAAATCTGCAGACCGGTGTGTGGGACTATATACTGTTCTTCTCATGCGAATGATAACGCATGTGTAATCTAACGCCAACTCTTCTTCTCTGTTTTTAGAGATCGTCGTCTAAAAGACAAAGAAAGAGACAGAGAGAAGGACAGAGACAGGAACCGCAAAGACAGAGAAAGAGACAGGGACAGACGGGACAAAGACCGGTCCAAGAAATCAAGGTTTGAATCACGCTTGCCTCAAACCTTTTCAGGGCTGCCTCTGAACAGTAAGGATGTCGAGATGCTTGCAAATTGTAACTGTTTTTGTGATATACTGAACAGTGTTGTTGCAAATTCTGCAGATTTAAATGTCATCAAGGTAACATTAAACAATATTTTGCCTAAGATAATGTAATATTGAAATTATCACATTGATACTATAAAAAAATCACAGAAAATATGATGCTAAAAAATAGAACATTTATTATTGTGGTGGAGCTGGTGAAAATGGCTGTACAAATCTGCACTCTGAAATCTTTTTCGAATGTGCCAGGAGAAAAAAAATAGTGTTAACAGTTTAGTTTGTTGAACTTCAACTGACTGACATTCATATATAGTATACGTTTGTGTATATATATATATATATATATATATATATATATATATATACATATATACATACACATATACATATATATATATATACACGTGAAATATATATATATATATATATATATATATATATATAGGTCTGTGTATATATATATATATATATATATACGTGAAATATACATGAAATCCAAAATATTAAATGTGAATGTATATTTACGGAGTAATCCACTATTTTGTAGAGGGGGGTCAAAATGACAATTTTCACCTGTGATTTGGAGCCAAATTACAGAGGGGTAAAAATGACTTTAGAAAGATGGCAGCGTCATTATTTTATTTTTGTACAGAGATTGGTAGGTCTATTAGTAAAATCTGTTTACTTTAGCAATCTTTGTTGCATTGTTAACAGTGACAGTTAAAAAATGGGAAAAAGCTGTTCCAAGTTTGCATGCCTGGAACTCTAAAAGTATTAGATATCTTAATATCCTGGTTCATAACAAACATTTCTTTTGGTATCTTCATTTTAAAGGCCCTATATGGTTCAATCCCAGAGATATGGAGATCTTAAAGGGATAGTTCACCCAAAAATGAAAATAAGCCCATGATTTACTCACCCTGAAGTCATCCTAGGTGTATATGACATTCTTCCTTCAGACGAATACAATTGGAGTTATATTAAAAAAATGTCCTGGCTCTTCCAAGCTGTATAATGGGAGTGAATGGGCACTATTTTTTTAAGTCCATACAAGTGCATCATATCCATCATAAAAGTGTCCCAAACGGCTCCGAGGGGTTAATAAAGGCCTTCTGAAGCGAAACGATGCGCTCTTGTAAGAAAAATGTTTTTTTTTAAAACTTTGACTAAAAAATCGATTGATAATTTTTTTTTCTTTTAAAGAGGAATATCTGAACAATCTGTGTTGGTTGGACACAACCCCTCTAAGTGTTCGACGGTCCCTATTATTCACCTTAGGTTTTTGCCCTCTATTCTTCTTCGCTGAAGAAGTCTTGCCTTGCTTTGTTTACACCGTCATAATCATAACAATTGGGTGGTTAAGGTCCATTTACACCAAGGATGACGATAACTATAAATATATATGATGATATAGTTCTAAAAATCATTATAAATATAAATAGCCACATCACAACTATAACAGTAACGGCACAAAGAAACAATATAGTTGGAATCACTTTCAGAACAAATTTTTTCAAGCTGATAAATGATAAAAACATTGACAGCCAATCAGAATCCATTCTGCTTTAAAGAGCTTGAGCATTTAAAGTGGCTGACACCTGCAGCACGCGCTTTGAATTAACAAGCGTTATCGTTCGCTGGTGTGGACGCAAATTTAGTTATCGTTATGGTTCTCTTTATAGTTATTGCTCTTGGTGTGAACAGGCCTTAAAGTTTAAGGTTACAGATGCTCTTGTTAAACGGGCTCCGGTGATTTGCCCTTTTTTGGACGTCTGAAAAGTCGCTCATTTCACACGTGGCTTGTACTAAACACTGCTGAAAACCACTTATACTGCACTGATATACAAACTAGAGAATATAAACAACAAAAAGATGAATAAAACAATTGCAACGTTTGTTTTTTTCATTGTAGCCTACACAAATTATATCAACCCCTATTCTAATGGGTGTTCACATTATTTTGTCCAACCCCTGTATGTATATTGCATACAATGTTTAGATATTTTAAATATTCAAATAAATAATATAATGTAAATATTTCACTACTTGGTTATAAAGTGTTTGCTTTTTTCCTCTCAGGAGCACTTCCCCGAAATCCAAGGATTCGAAATTAAAGAGGGATGTGAAAAAAGAGGAAGATGAGGAAGATGAGAAGAAGAAAAAGAAGGTGCCCTATTAGAAGACACTTGAAGTTTGAAAGTTGCATATTGTGTACTTTTCTGACTTGGATTTGTCTGCAATCTGCCTGGTTTCAGGTGCAGCCTCTCTCTCTTGAAGAGCTGCTTGCAAAGAAGAAAGCTGAGGAAGAGGCAGAGTCTAAGGTGAAGAGATTTGAGATATTTATTTAAATCAGTGCACTCCTTTTTTGGTTTTGTTTTTCCTAAACATATCCTCCTGTTACAGCCCAAGTTCTTGTCCAAAGCGGAGCGAGAAGCCGAAGCCATCAAACGGAGAGAGCAGCAGACAGAGGAACGCCGCAGACAGGTGGAGGATGAGAGGAAGAAAAGAAGAGTATTTCAGGACATTGGCAGAAAGATGCTAGGTGAGAGGCTAGGAAAAATAATAGCATCTGTAGAAAAATGCTTATACTTTTAATACTGGAGTTTTGTGGTCTGTCTATTAGCTTTAAAGGCCATCTACACTCACCGGCCACTTTATTAGGTACACCTGTCCAACTGCTCGTTAACACTTAATTTCTAAGCAGCCAATCACATGGCGGCAACTCAGTGCATTTAGGCATGTAGACATGGTCAAGACAATCTCCTGCAGTTCAAACCGAGCATCAGTATGGGGAAGAAAGGTGATTTGAGTGACTTTGAACGTGGCATGATTGTTGGTGCCAGAAGGGCTGGTCTGAGTATTTCAGAAACTGCTAATCTACTGGGATTTTCACGCACAACCATCTCTAGGGTTTACAGAGAATGGTCCGAAAAAGAAAAAACATCCAGTGAGCGGCAGTTCTGTGGGCGGAAATGCCTTGTTGATGCCAGAGGTCAGAGGAGAATGGCCAGACTGGTTCGAGCTGATAGAAGGGCAACAGTGACTGAAATAACCACTCGTTACAACCGAGGTATGCAGCAAAGCATTTGTGAAGCCACAACACGCACAACCTTGAGGCGGATGGGCTACAACAGCAGAAGACTCCACCGGGTACCACTCATCTCCACTACAAATAGGAAAAAGAGGCTACAATTTGCAAGAGCTCACCAAAATTGAACAGTTGAAGACTGGAAAAATGTTGCCTGGTCTGATGAGTCTCGATTTCTGTTGAGACATTCAGATGTTAGAGTCAGAATTTGGCGTAAACAGAATGAGAACATGGAACCATCATGCCTTGTTACCACTGAGCAGGCTGGTGGTGGTGGTGTAATGATGTGGGGGATGTTTTCCTGGCACACTTTAGGCCCCTTAGTGCCAATTGGGCATCGTTTAAATGCCACGGCCTACCTGAGCATTGTTTCTGACCATGTCCATCCCTTTATGGCCACCATGTACCCATCCTCTGATGGCTACTTCCACCATGTCACAAAGCTCTAATCATTTCAAATTGGTTTCTTGAACATGACAATGAGTTCACTGTACTAAAATGGCCTCCACAGTCACCAGATCTCAGCCCAATAGAGCATCTTTGGGATGTGGTGGAACGGGAGATTCGCATCATGGATGTGCAGCCGACAAATCTGCAGCAACTGTGTGATGCCATCATGTCAATATGGACCAAACTCCCTGAGGAATGCTTCCAGCACCTTGTTGAATCTATGCCACGAAGAATTGAGGCAGTTCTGAAGGCAAAAGGGGGTCCAACCCGTTACTAGCATGGGGTACCTAATAAAGTGGCCGGTGAGTGTATATGCTAATGTGCTCCTCAATGTTGTCTTTTTTATTTTCATCATCTTGCTTTGTCTAACTTGCAGAGGATCCTCAGGAGCGTGAACGGCGAGAAAGAAGGGAGCGAATGGAAAGAGAGAACAATGGGAATGATGAGGATGATGGACGGCAGAAGATTAGAGAAGAAAAAGACAAAGGAAAAGAGCTGCAGGCCATTAAGGTGACAAGCTCTACACTGTCCTCACTTATTCAGCTGGAGAAAAACAAACCAATCTTTTACATCATTTTCTGGGTTGAGAGAAATCTTAAGAGCAAATTAGATAGTATTTAAACTAGGCCTGATGATTAAACTAATTACCGTATTTTCCGCACTATAAGGCACACTTAAAAGCCTTTAATTTTCTCAAAAAACGACAGTGCGCCTTATAATCCGGAGCGCCTTATATATGAATCAATTGGTTTATAACGCTTCGCGTTATTAAATTCGCCCGCGAACTTGCGCTCGTGTCCATCTTATGCCCGCTCTGTCACACGGCCAGTTCAACCTCGTATAAATCAGGTTATGTGTGTAAGTCACGTGCCCGCTCACTCTTACTAACAGGCACACGAACAGACACACTGTCCCCGGCGCTGCTCGCGCATCACAGAATGTTCATAAAGCGCTCCCCGTTCACAGTAACCGGGTCGTCTCATTCAAAACAGCCAGCTGTCGCTGTCAGCGAGCCGCCGCACATGAATACTCATATGAGTCAGGCTGCGAATGTAAGTTACTTGCCCGCCCCAGCGCGCTCACGCTTACTTATAAACGCCTCACCTCCGGCGCCGCGCACTCGCTACAAAGCTCTCAGAAAACGTTCCCCGCTCAAGGTAACCGGGGGATATATTTCATATATAGAAACAGCGTGCCATCGCTGCCAGCGAGCCGCCGTCTCTAAGCACTCATGCCGGTCAGATTGTGAATGTATGTCGCGAGCTCGCTTACTATCAGATCACTCAAATGTCCAGAGGGCTCGCGACATACATTCCAGAGTCTATTGAATGCAGTTAGAAAGACCCTAAAATTCGAGATATCAGGGCAAAAATGCCCATTTGAGTTTTTGTCTCATATTTATATCATGATATAGTTAAGCAATATCACATGGGTAACGAGCACAATATCACATGAGTGCTGTTTTTGTCCCGAATTGTACGAGTGCAAATGTGATATTGATTTTATACAACAGTTCAATAAATAAATAACTTAATATTGGGTTATATTCTATATTATACTTTTGCTTAATTTTGCCAAAGAAAATATTACCTACAAAGCCAGAGCAGAACTGTTGTGCGTCTCCGAGCAACACATGGCTGTGTTTAATTTCTGAATGAATCCACATTTTGAGCAAATCAATAGGGTGATGATTAAATGATTCAATGGGCCATTCATAAAGAAAGCCATTTACTTCAGTCCTGTATGAATCAACCATTTGAAGACATCGAATGAATGAATGACTCACTCGTTTAGACATTTACCACAACCTACTGGCAGTTTTAGTTTCTTATTTTTTCTTATTATTTCATTCTTTTTTATTTTTTTTATTTTTCCTTAATGTAGTTTGCCCAAAAATGCAAATTCTGTCACTTACTCACCCTCATGGCTGGTGAAGCCTAAAATTGTATGTAATAAATTCAATTTTGAATCGAATCAAATATTATCACATTATTTTGACCAACCCCTGTATGTATATGCATACAATGTTTAGATATTTTAAATATTAAAATAAATAATATAATGTAAATATATTGAGAAAACTGTTACTAAATATGCCTTTGGGAATAAGTAAAGCAAATGTTGGCCTCAGAAAAATCTAAGAATTCATTTGCAAATGTTTAGAGAAGTTTATGCTATCAGAATATCATCTTTCCATGTATTTTCCTCTGTCCCTGCTGTGCATTGAAGTGCATTAGGTGATAATGTGTCTTTTTGATGAATGTTGAACCAATACTTGTTTTCTCTTTAGGAGCGTTATCTTGGCGGGATGAAGAAACGGCGGCGTACACGTCATCTGAATGACAGGAAGTTTGTCTTCGAGTGGGATGCGTCTGAAGACACATCGACCGACTACAATCCAATGTGAGGATGCCATGAATAACTGCACATAATAACTTTTCACATAAAAATCCAGATTATTTTATATATTTTACTGCATTGCATTTGGGTATGACTGCCTCAGATCACCCAATTTACATATTTATGTAGTATATGTGAGAGAGGAGCACAATAACACAGGTTGACTGTTTATGTGTTTAGCTATAAAGAAAAGCATCAGGTTCAGCTGTACGGCCGAGGCTTCATCGCAGGCATCGACCTCAAGCAGCAGAAGAGAGACCAGTCCCGATTCTACGGAGACCTGATGGAGAAGAGACGGACCCTTGAAGAGAAGGAGCAAGAGGAGTAAGATTTATACACTCCCAACATATTAGAATGATTTCTGAAGGATCATGTGACACTGAAGACTGGAGTAATGATGCTGAAGATTCAGCTTTTACATCACAGGAATAAATTACATTTGAAACTATATTAAAGTAGACAACAGTTATATTTTAATAATATTTCACAAAATTGCTGTTACTTTATTAAAATACACCCAATGATAGGGTTGTAATTGACACAAGGGAGAGCTAATGCCTCTGTTATGGAAAATGGAAATTATCATAATCAAATGCTCACTGTTTTAATGGATATGCTATTCATTTATGTATTTCACAGAGTGAGGCTGAAGAAGGTGCGAAAGAAGGAGGCCAAGCAGCGCTGGGACGACCGACACTGGTCTCAGAAGAAGCTGGATGAGATGACGGACAGAGACTGGAGAATTTTCAGAGAGGACTACAGCATCACCACCAAAGGAGGGAAGATCCCTAACCCCATCCGCAACTGGAAGGAGTATTTACTGCCGCCTCACATTCTGGAGGTCATCGAAAAGTGTGGCTATAAGGTCAGTGTGTTTCTTTTTGCTATGTTTCCAAATTATTATTGTTCTTCAAATGTTTAAAAATGCTCGTTACATATGGCATCCTTCCATCCATGTAAGTGTGTTTTGTGTATATTATAGTGCTGTCAAACGATTCAAATATTTAATCGCATTAATGTCATAGTTAACTCGCGATTAATCACACATTTTTATCTATTCTAAATGTCTCTTGATTTCTTTTTGTCCCATTATTTTTTTTCTCATTTTAATGCTCTTATCAACATGGAAAAGTGGATCGGCTTGCTTTGTGCAAATGTTTTTTTATTGAAAACAAACATTGGCATATACTGTGTTCAATTTCACACTAACATTCTCACTTGGAGCATGTGGGGGCGGAGAATTCACATCAACTGTGTGTGTGCTTGGCCATCATCAAGTGGTATTTCAGACTGGACGTGCTGCGATGACGATAGCTCAGTTCACAATGACAAAACACACAGATCACGTTGGTCTTGTCAATGGAACCATTTGGCAACTTTTTAAAAGTAAACTTTCCATTCAGAATCTTATTGGCATCCATTTCGGCGTCTCGCGCTCGTCACTCACTCAAAACGTAACGTTAACCAACTATTTGGCCGGCTCTCAAGCCCAAACAAGTGTGTGCGGCGTGCCTGTTGTTTTGTTTCCGGTCTAGCTAGATCTGCTTGCGCTTTGGTCGACGAAGCAACAAAACGTCCTCGCGCGGCGCAAGCCATTGAAATGCAGTGTTTCCCCTACCATTGTTTTGGGGGGGCAGCCCGCCCGCGATGTAGACTAGTGTGTGTGAATATTAAAACACAAAGACTATTTAAATAAGAATCCTGCATGTTCTGAGTGAATGAATGGTGCCGCCGACGCGCAGTTTCATTTACCACACACACACACTGAAGCACGTGTGACGCTTGCGCTGTTTTTTGGCCTATATGAAGACAAAAATGCATAAACTTCCTCTCCAGGCTCTAGATCCACTCTGAAAGTCACTTCGTGATCATTTCACCGCTTCATTTGAGAAAAACTATCATCATGACATAAACACACAGAAACTCAAAACGTCTTCACGGCAACCCGTCAAAATAAAAGTTCGGTTTAACTTGACAGAAATATATTACTGTTGTACATTAGAATTTAGATATGTCCCAATGTAATAATACACTAATCCAAATAAATTATCATCAAAACTGAAATTAAGGAATAATCCATGTTTTAATTTTAACAGTAAAGCTCATTGTGCAGCAAGTTATTTGACAAAAAGTTTATTTAATTTCATACGATTAAAATTGATGATAAATGATACAATTTGTGTTTTATGTCTTCATTTTATTACCAGAAAAAACACAACACAGAATTAGTGTGACATTTTTTTTCATATATTTAAAAAAAAAGTATTGTTTAATGATTCATAATACATGATTTCAATTAATTAGACATGCTTTTTGATTGCAAAAAAAAATTACACCACGTATCCGTAACACGCCCGCTCCGCAACACTAGCAGTCCGCCCCCCCCCCCCCCCCCCCCCCCCCGCCTGAAAAAAATCCTAGGGGAAACACTGAAATGAATGGGTTTCATAGCGCAGCGCAGCGCCCTGTTGCAAAAGCATGTGAAAAAAGCAAAGTTTGCTAGGCTAAAAAGAGCGTTAATCGCGCGATAAAAAAATTGACGCCGTTAATAATGCGTTTAACTGACAGCCCTAATATATTAAAAATGTTTTCTTTACATGTTCATTCTTTATCAGGATCCTACACCTATCCAGAGGCAGGCCATTCCTATTGGTCTACAGAACCGTGACATCATCGGTGTGGCTGAGACTGGTAGCGGTAAAACCGCCGCCTTCCTCATTCCTTTGTTGGTCTGGATCACTACTCTACCTAAGATTGACAGGTGAGCTCACTTTTTTTCTCTGTCACGTTTTTATACGTCGACACATGTTCTGAGGAATCGGATCAAATGTGTTTCACTGTGTGTGTGTTTCACTGTAGGATTGAGGACTCTGATCAGGGACCGTATGCCGTAATTCTGGCCCCGACTCGTGAGCTGGCACAGCAGATCGAGGAGGAGACCATTAAATTCGGCAAACCGCTGGGGATCCGGACGGTAGCCGTGATCGGTGGAATATCCAGAGAGGATCAAGGGTTCAAACTCAGGATGGGTTGTGAGGTGAGAGTAAAAGACCCTCCAATAACCAATTGCTATTAATTCAAAATTATTCATAGTATCTCTATATTTAGTGATACTGAAAAAACACTGGTCTATGTCTATATTCGTAATAGATAACCTCATTGTAGTTGTAGATCTGATGTGTTTGGCTTCCTCGTTCTCAGATCGTCATAGCCACACCTGGTCGTTTGATCGACGTGTTGGAAAACCGATACCTCGTCCTGAGCAGGTGCACGTATGTGGTACTGGATGAAGCCGACAGAATGATTGACATGGGTTTTGAACCCGACGTCCAGAAGATTCTGGAGTACATTCCTGTGACTAATCAGAAGCCTGACACAGATGATGCTGAGGACCCTGAAAAAATGATGCAGAACTTTTTGGAGGGCAAACACAAATACAGACAGGTAACAGATACTGAGTCACGGATTATGAAATGAAGTCACAATTTCTATTGCTTTCTTTTTATTGCACGTCCTCTCTCGTGTTTTTCAGACGGTCATGTTCACGGCCACTATGCCTCCTGCAGTGGAGCGTTTGGCCAGGAGTTACCTCCGACGGCCTGCGGTGGTGTACATCGGCTCTGCAGGCAAACCTCACGAGAGAGTGGAGCAGAAGGTCATCCTCATGTCCGAGGGTGAAAAGAGGTCAGAGCGCACGTGTTAACTGTAACCCCTCATATTCAAGTGGAAGTTGTCATCAGAAATTTACTCAACCTTTTCTTCCAAATGTTCTTGTGTGGTAAACAGGAAGAAGCTGCTGGAAGTTTTGGGAAGTGGCTTCGAGCCGCCCATCATCATCTTCGTTAACCAAAAGAAGGGTGTTGATGTGCTGGCTAAGTCTCTGGAGAAGATGGGAGTGAGTACACAGTGTTTATTACTGTCTGTAATTCTTTATAGAAATAACTTTCAGTCAGTAACTCTCGATCTTTCTTTTCCTCTGTTCTGCAGTACAATGCTTGTACACTTCATGGTGGTAAAGGTCAGGAACAGAGAGAGTTCGCCCTGTCCAACCTGAAGGCCGGAGCTAAGGACATCCTGGTGGCCACAGATGTGGCAGGCAGAGGTATCGACATCCACGACGTCTCCATGGTCCTCAACTACGACATGGCCAAGAACATTGAGGGTGAGTCCAACATCATTTCTGTCACTTTATCCATTAAACCTTTTCCGCTTTAGAACTGTTGGATGGTTATATCAGGGGACTTCCTGTTTCTCGTTTCCTTTTTGATTAATCTTTAACTTGGCTTTTCTCAGACTATATCCATCGTATTGGCCGAACGGGTCGTGCTGGAAAGAGTGGTATGGCGATGACCTTCCTGACCAAAGAAGACTCTACTGTGTTCTACGACCTGAAACAAGCCATCTTGGAAAGCCCCGTGTCCACCTGCCCTCCCGAGCTGGCCAATCACCCAGAAGCCCAGCACAAGCCCGGCACTATCCTCACCAAGAAGAGGAGAGAGGAGACCATCTTTGCCTGAGCTGGACCGCTTCCATATGTTGTTGTTTTTCTCTTGTGCATCTTGTGACTGCTGTTTCTTTTTACCAGATTATTCAAAAGAGACACCCAGTAAAACATGGGATCATAAATCAGTTTTCTGACATATAAATCAGTGAGTGTAGAACTGAGGTAGAGAGAAATCATCCCTTGACACCATCAGATGGACAGTTGGTAAAACGTAAAATTGTTGAACAGCACACCTCTTTTGTTTTTTACACATTACGTGTGATTGTGATTTTTAAATTGTGTAAAAATACCGATTCATTAATGCATTTGTAGATACCCCATTTCAGTCAGAGGATGAGTAAAATTGTTCATTCGCTCTATGGATTAATAATAAAGTCCTTAAGACTGAAAAAAGTGTCGTTTGAAGTTTTTGAATATATTTTTCTGGCTTGATGATAAACAGATTAATTGAAATCAGTAATGATAATCTAACATCCAGTTACTTAAATTACACTGCCATAAAAAAAGTAGCAGATGATTTTCTTAATAGATTTCACAAGCCAACATGAAACTAGAAGACCAACTTCCTATCTCCATCTTAACTCCTTCCTCAGTCCATACGAGCCTCTTTCCAAATATGTTTGTTCCAGGTACACTGATCACGCTATTTCTGAATCCAGGAAAACTATACCAACTATTGGTGTGTTCATATGTGACATAAACCAGTCTTTGGGATGAATTAAATGAAAATGAGCAAGAGCGTTTTCAATCTGTACTAGAGGTATCTTGTCTTGATATTCCTCAAATCCAGAATTGAATGGAGACCTCCTCCTCTCACATTGCTGTGCCCTTGGCCCACTGCCTGGATACACAGGGTATGTTTATTATTTTCACACCAAATGTCCTTTTGAAATCTGCCCTCTGCCCTCCATGTAACCCCGTGGGTGGAGGGGGGAGAATTTCTCTGTGGGGCATTGGGGGAACTGGTGCCAACTCCACACTTGAACTGGTCATAAGATATCTTTGATTAATTCCAATGTCCAATGCCTTCTCTTGGCAGGAGGAGAAGAAACTGACCGCTCTCTTTGAGGGAGGACAGCAACAGATACTCTGCCAGTGCTCTTACCCATCCCTTCATCCTGAACAGAAGGACGGATTAAATTGAATGCCGTTTCTTCCCTTCCTAAGGGTTTGCTGGCCGGTGTCAACTCACAGCCCCTGCGAAAGGAAGGCTTTTCTCTTAGCTGACTGACCACTCCTCTGGGGGCTTGAAAACCAGTGTGTCTGGTTGAGGAGCCCAGCAGTGGTCTTGTGAGGGAGCCAAGTTTGGAAAGCCTCGCCCTCCTGTTTCCTCAAATCACACTCCTGTTGCCCAGCAGTGACCAATGCCCCGAAAAGGGCTTTGGGCTCAATCAAAGTCCTTTTAGGCAAGTCATGCCACTCGGCCGCCATCTTAGCAACGTATCCGGGCAGCTATTTCGGACTAACAAGACCAGGCTCCTATCTAAATAAATGGGTAGAGAGTCAGAACTGCACTTTCACTGGTCACCGGGACATAAAAACTGCTTGTATAGAAAAATCGCTAAAAAAGTTTGATGACTTTGCGCCAAAATAAGGTTTAAAAGGTTTAATAAGGTTTTCCCCACAGGTTATACGTTTACTACGCATGCGCAAGGGTTCTCGTCTCCGCTGTCGCAAACCTCAACTGTGCGCATGCGTCAGTGGAACCAGACAATAGGCTTACATGTTTCCCGGCAGACGATTGGCTTTCCAGCGGGAGGGGCGGGGCATGTGCATACAACCGCCATCTTTGGCGTTACGGGTTTTCCCTATATAGTTGTATTGAGGATTGAGGAAGTGGCATGTCTCTATATAAATTGTCTCTGGCTCAATCTGAGCTTTCAAGATGCAGATCCTCAATCTTCTGAAAAACCGAGGCTGCTAAGCGTTCAGTTCCTGGCAGTGAAGCTGAGGCAGAGGAAAAGGCTGCCCTGCGGTTAGGGGTTGAGATGATGTGCCGCTGACAGCTCAACAGGAGGGGGATTTGACATCCCTAACCCTATTACTGGAACCCTGTGGGAAAAGGGCTTATCCCTGAAACTTTTAATTTCTGGAATACACGCAGGGATTGCTGAAATTAGCTGTTTAATGCCTGGGGCACGTGACGCAGTCAAAAAGATCTCTCTGGCTCTGGTTCCCTGGCCCATCTGCTGCAACGGCCAGTCAATGGAGAGTTTTGCCACTGCCCTCTGGCACATTTTGAGTAGGTCGAGCTCCGCCAGGGCTGGGGAGGGGGATGCTTTGTGGGATTCGGCGGGAGGATCGCATCATCACCCACCTCTCCTTCCTCCTCCAATAGACGAGCGATAGCTTTGTCATCGTCCTCCTCTTTTTCCTCTGTTATGGTTCTGAAAAGGGGAAGCAGAATGCATGACACAGGGGCTGTTTAATCTTCTCCACAGGCAGAGGAGAAAAGCAGGGGTCTCCTTTATTAGCGGTCGCAACTCACACTCTTCTCTCTAGCACCTTTGATGGGACGAGAGAACAGTGAGGACAACACTCGGGTTAGCCTATGCTGCCTGAACGTGTCTCACCCCCAGCCAGGGGTGCGTTTCCCAAAAGCATCGTTTGCCAACTATGATCGCAATTTCCATTGAACTCTATTGGTAACGACGGAACTTGCGACCATAGTTGGCTTTGGGAAACGCACCCCAGGATGAGAGCCCCTTGCTTGGAGATCATTCCCCCACATAGATGCAAAGTTTCTGCTTTTGCTATGCCACTTGCAGAACTAGCGATCGCTATACTAGAGATAGCACCTAAGCTCACCACATTGACTGCTTAGGAAGAAGAACCATAGAAGAGAATCTGCTGTGACATGTTAATTATCTTCGTTTATATCCCAAGCAAATAAATCACAGTGACAGTGAATAGACCCGCTAACTAAACCGCGGTGTTCGGTGAGGCACCTTGACGGCTCGTCTAATTACAGTTAAACAACTATTTCCAAAAACAGGCCCTGCTGATAGGATAGCTTCCGATGTGATCTTAATGGGGGAGAAATCACCGGCAGCGGTAAATATCAGGGAGGCAGGACTCCCGCATCACTGTCGTGATTGGTCTGTCAACTGACAGACGTGGAGGTATTGGTGCCTCCAGGATCTGTCACAGCCAAAGATGTTTGAAAGAGAACCGTCAAAATTCAGGAGACATTTCCTCGCTCGTTGTACCAACGAACCTATGCCACTCCCATACCACACATGCATCAAAGTAGCCGGATAAACTTTTTTCTATTTAAGGATATGATAAGACAAGCACAGGCCGGCGAGTGACACATGTCTGCAATTTCCCACAAAAACCATCCCACTCGGTCTAAAATATAAACACTTATAATATGCGTACCATAGCGCGAATGACAGTAAGACAAAAACACGTTTTGGAAGAAGGATTGATGTTTTGACTCAGTTTAATTTTTGTAAAACATTTTTTAATGCATTAAGACAGGTGTCAAACTCCTGGAGGAGTTTAGATCCAACCCGGCTCCAATATATCTGTAGTTTTCAAAATAATCCTGGAGATTAGCTGGATCACGTGTGTTTAATTAAGGTTGAATCTAAACTTTGCAGGGCTGTGACCCAGGAACTGGGAGAGTTATAACATTCTCATCATTGCTCTGCTTTCTCAGTTATCTGAACGGTGTTGAACATAAGAGCTGTTTGGTATTTGACCACAGTGAGGCAGTGTAACTTTGATTTAACAAATTTAAATGCAACAATACAACATACCATTTAGCTCTGGACTGCTGACTTTCCAATGCAAGTGACACTTTGCAAATGAATTTATTACTCCCTATTCATATCAATAGTAGAACAAACAACAAATCATGAACTTGACTCATGAATAAACCATGATACTTACAGAACACATCATGGTAATTAAGCCTATTCAGAGTTCTTCTAGAAGCCTAGATAGGCTCTGCACGATCGCTTCCGTGTTTTGTCTCAGCCCGCCCATCGACAACTTTGAGGGTGAGTAATCTCCCATAACATGCGAAATCCGACTAGCGAATCAGTTTCTAAAATCGTTGTCTCGTTTCTGAGACAATTAATTTTATTAAAGTTTGGCCTCTAGTACACTTCGCTATAGAACGCGCTATGAGGAGGTAAAGACACGGGCTTAGATTCTACCGGAAATACGTCAGCAACGTTCGTGCATAGAGCCTATTGAATTCATTTGCATTTGGCTTAATCACTTTTGTATCTCACGTTTCACAATAACTCAATTGATGAGCCCACCTAAACTAATGAAATGGGTGAGCCTATCCCTCACAACACATTTAGCTTATTCGTAATGACAGGCATACTCTACAATCATTCTCCACATTCAAACGAGCCCTGTCCTTAATCTTCCTTGCAGCCATATGATAATGGAGAATGATGACTCGCATAGGTAAGGTAGGAAATGGGAGCAATATTCTCATGGTCTTGGCAGTGAGTTCGGGATACTAATGCGAGAGGGAGGGCCAAAAGACTGCACGAGGAATTAGTCCAAGAGCTCCTCTTCTGCCTTATCAGTAAGGCCACTTGTTGCAGCTGGGGAAAAAGGATCCCGCACACATTCCCAGGCATTTGTGCTCACATCTGGGAAGTATGATCTGAAGTGCTTGCTCAGTGCAGTGAGCTGAGAGGTAACTACCTCTCTCACTATAGCCACCACAGACAGGTTGTTTATGTGGATAATCTCAGTCTGATAGGGGAACATTGCTCTGTTTTCATGAAGGCAGTGATTTTGTAGCTGACTTCCAGGATAGATGGATAGCCTCCTTGGATAGAAAGGTTTAGACTGTTGAGCAAGTTGAATATATCAGTAAGATATGACATTTAATCTTCACACTCCGGGTCAGAAAAAAAACACATTCTCATAAATTCTGACATCTCACTGCGTAGCTCAAACACACGCTGCAAATCTTTCCATGAGAGAGCCATCGCACTTCTGTGGTAAAGCGGTGCGTCATGCCCAGCGCCAATCTCCTTACAAAGCTGTCCAAACATGTGACTGCAGTGCTTTTGACTTCACTAAATGAACTGCTGTGATGGCAGAGTCTGAAACAGAGTGAAGGTCCGGTTCCATGCTTTTTGCAATGTGTAGCCATAATCTTTGGGTTGGCAACCTTTATCTGTGCAATAACTCCACTTTTTTCGGCCTGTCCTTGCCGCTTCATAGGCTACGACGCAAGTTAGTATAGAAGAATAAAACGCCATCATCATGCGCTAGTGGTAAACAAAGAGCAAGATGATTCGCACTTTAGCCATTGTGGTTTTCATGTGCACTGAAAAAAAGAGGAGGAAGCGAAAGAGGAGAATATGGACTTGGTCATAGCTAGAGAAAAGAGGCCAACTTGGCATGGCGATTTTGCAGGAAAGTAGTTTTAAGCTTTAGCGCCATGTCACGTTGATCAATATGCCATTTCATGTTGCATTTTTATTGGTTAGTCAGTAGATGTGGGTCATAGCAGCAAACAGACTGTGAGATGATCATGCTAAATTTTGAACACAGTCAGAAAATGATCGCAGGATATCTTTGACATGACAACGGCCGTCTCTGAACCTCTCTCGCTGTACGACGTAGGAACACCGTTTAGGAGCCACAACCACAGAAATCTTTTGTCTGGGAAAGGCCAAAATCATACAATGTGTACTGGGACTGTTTATGGTGAGGATGAGGGACAGGTGCACATGATTTGTACTCTGGGGTGTGAGAGGACTTTGAGTGTGTGTGTGTGTGTGTGTGGTGGGGGAGCCTGGCATGAAATCTATGCAGTAGTTCTTCAATTCTCATCCTAATGATGCCATTTGAAAGAGGTACAGATTTCAGTTTATTAAATGCCTGTGCGCCAAGCATAACACATTTCAACGGCTGTAAGTATGAGTTCTTGTGGAATTGTGTGTGTTTTCTTACTTTTAGCAATCCATTGAGCCGCCATAAAAGAAGCCTTCTGCTTTCTCTGAAGCTGTGGCCAGGTTCACCATCCATGTTTTCTGGTGGATGTATTCCTTGCTCTTTTGAAGAAAGAAAAAAACAACCTTTTTTTTGCCCTTATATTCTAGGTGCTTTGTAATCAAATGGCGCTTTAACTTGGTGGGCTTCATCGCTAGGTCTGCTAGCACCTGAAGACACAAGGTGCATTTTGGTCTCTCGTCGCTGTTCTCAATAAAACCAAACAAATATAATTGTCACTAGTTTCTCAATTCAGATAGTTTGGGCTTAGCTTCACTTGTGGAATTCAAATATTTCTCCATGCTCACCAGTTAGAAGCCAGAACGGTTCGTGAAGAGTTTTTTATGAGTGATGAGTGGTTCATCACAGATTGTCGTAATGCTTCTATTGGCCTAAAGTTAATGTGGGTGGGAGTTAGAGGATGGATACCCGAACCGAGCCCGACGGGACCCGACGGGCCGGGCCGGACACATATTTTGAAATGACGTTCGGGTTCGGGTCGGGCTCGGTCACGTCGGCGCAATTAAGGCATTGAACATTTGAAATTTAAAACAGCTTATTATAATGTTTAACTGGATGCAAATGTTTGTTTTTGTGATTAAAATAAATTTAAAATATCACCCTAACATCCAACTTCATGTGTGCGGAAATTTGTTTATGTTGCTGTGACAACGCGCAACACGTGCGTGCATAATATTGCATATTTAGCTACATGTGGCTGGCAGCGCAACGATGGAAGACGTTAAAAAGAAGTTGGCCTCAGGAGATTTTAAAACCAGCCTAAACATTGAAGGATGGATTATGTGAATAGATCCCATGTTACAGTTTTATTAGCCACACAGTTTTCGAGGAAAAATGGTAAGAGTGATTTCCATTTCAATAAGCTGCATATGTGTTACGTTAATGTTTTGTTCTGTTAGCTTTGGCAATTTTTGGTAGACCTAGCTTTGTTCATTTAATTTCAATTGGCTATTATTGTATTATTATATTGTTTGGGCCTCTTGTGCGCGCCTGTGTTAACAACATGCGCTTTGTTGGCCGTGTGCGGCGCACGCTGGTGCGTTGCGCACATCTGTAAACATTTCCGAATGCCTTCCAGTTGCTAAATAAAAGCGGCCTTTCTACACAAACAAACGTACGTGTCATTAGTATGAGAAAAAAATGAGATTTTTAACTGTGTCGGGCTCGGACATAAATATCTTAATGCCTATCGGGCTCGGGTCGGGTTCGGTTACTGCCCTGTCGGACGCGGGCCGGGCTCGGACAGAAAAATGCGGCCCGATCCGCACTCTAGTGGGAGTAATGAACACAATATGCTTGTTTTATTGGTGCAAATGGTCCCCATATGTAAATATGCAAATTGTATAATACAGCACAATTTAATAATTTATAGAAAATTATTATTCGCAAGTCTATGGACCACCACTTAGAGAAACCTGGATTGCCAGGGCGGGCGGGACTCATTCCGCCTAATTGCGCATTGCACTTTCTCTAAATCGTAGCAATATGATTGTCTTTTGCATAGTTAAATTGTTAAGTGAATGAATTATGTGTGAACCGCTCTCTAAAACTCACTTGTATCAGTGTGATTTACATAGACGCTGCACTAACATCATCTTATTTCTAAAAACATTGTGGTATCAGTACTTAAAGCACCCAAAGCACAGCAATGCTAATGTTAATGCTAGCTAATGAACTTCTGAATGCACTTTAATGTCAAGGTATTTGGATGGGGAGGGATTTACAATTAAGACGGCTAGGTGACAACTTGCATATTTTAAAAGATTATGATATGAATAATGGGCACTAAGTAAGACCAAGAATGTGTATTAAGATGTGGTTGAATGTGGTTGACAGCTTTGTAAGACAAAACAACAGTGATGCAAAAAACACTTGCGATGAAATGTGAGCAATGATCAAACAATTTGAGACACAACTGGAGTGTTAAAAGTACATAAAATGTTTTTTTTGTTTTGTTTTTTATTATAACTAGTGGCATTTTCTTTAAATAGAAAGCATATACAGCATCAGGCAGGATTTATTTGTCATGTTGTCAGAAAGATGAAGGAGCGAAAGAGAGAAAGATAGTGTGTGCCAACATCACGTCTGAGGACCAATTATGTGTCCATTGCGATTATTGTTCTACCTAGTGCATTTATTGCATTACAAAGACATCAAAAAAGAAAAAAATAGTGCAATATCTTTTTCTCTACTTACACAGAAGAGGAAGTGTTAATGTTCTAAGGCGTTTCTTTCCATGTTTCTATTGCATACAGAATCGAAGACAAATGACTCAAATTATACCCATTGTAAATATTGTGCTGCTTAATACCTCAGAAAGAAAAGAAAAAAAATCAGCGTTTTATATGGATGCTGTATTGGTCCGCTAGAAAACAATGCAATGCCTTAACAGATAAGGGAAAAAAACAACGTATCATGTACATTTACATGTATTAAGATATGCAAAGCTAAAATAGTAGACCTTATACAGTACACGTCCCACCAAAGCTCTTTTACATTGTGCATTGTGGATAATACACATCGTGTCTCTTCTCAGTCTTAATATCAATCCAACGACAACAATGCAAGTTCTTGCCTTAAATAAAAGTAGCCGAGTTCACATGATCCTACAGGTCCTGACAAATGCTTTGACACTGCACAGAAAACAAGTTGGACTCGTCTCTCAAATTGAATCTCACGTACAGTAACAGACTTACAATATAAGTCTATATGGCATTCTGGGGGGTTTAAAAGCAGAAATGTGCGGCTTGTATTTTAGTTTAAGTGCTTATATAAGTTCTTACAACAACTTTTTGAACCTCATGAACTTGATGATTATGTTTTACCAAAATTATTACTGGAGTGGAGTGCAAAAATTGTACATGATCATGACAGTTGAAAGATTAGACATAACTTTACATAGACAAGGTTAGTAAGCAATGTCTATGTATAAAGTTTATGTGTAATGTTTAAGTCTTGTGGCTTTACTTTTGAAACTGTTAATCCTTCATTCGGGTGTAATGCCTCACCTCTTAGACGTCCATTGTGAGTCTATTACTGTATGCACATGTACTTTTTTCTCATTTTTACAAACTTGAGGGTATAACCAACATGTCACAGATTCTGTCAGTACAGCTTAACTTGAACTTTCCTTTATTACATCAATCCAAATATGTGTTATGGTTAAGCGTTAACATACAAAAATAACAGTGGAGGTATTGAAGCCCATGAGATTGAAAAGAAGCTTTTCAAAGAAAATGAACTTTGCGGCAGAAGCCCCTTGTCTGTGGTCAGTATAAAAGAGGGTGAATTGTCTTACTAAATAGAATAATACTTACAAGAACCAATGCAATACTAAAGTATATCAGAAAGAAACGATCAGATCTCATGCAACACTTGCATAGAATTTTGTTTCAGTCATGCTCTGATTTTCTTTGTTTTTTAAATATAGAACAATAGATTAAAGTGAGACATGTCGATAGCAAATAAAGATGCAGTACACTAAAAGAGAGGATTGGTCAAGGCATTTGTTAAAGTGGAACTTTACCCTGACTTCCACACCCCAGAACATGTACATTCCCCATGACCCTCTAAACAGCCTATGCAAGGCCTTGCTTCGAGATTGGTGCTGTAAACACAATGTCCAGGACTTTGACATACAATCTACGTCAGTTTGATCTTATGTTAGAAAGGCAAGAGATACAGTGACTTCTAATGACCTGAGATCAACGTGTGACGTGGGTTGTTAACAGGTAATCTGACATGGAAAGACTCTTTTTGTCCTTAAACATACTCGTAGTACGTGAACGCAAACGCTTATAGCTACTTAATTTGCATTACATTCTTAGTATTGCCACAAGGGGCACTGTAGCGTGCATTAGCATAAAATGTCTTCTCTTTCACGTCATTAACAGTTTGAAGGGAATTTAGCTTGACACACTTGCTTTCACGCACTTGCGTAGAGTATGTTTCAGGCCTTAGCATTCACCGTGTCAGTGTATTGTCGTAGCCACCAGTAATCGTTGTTTCGCCTGTATGGATTTCAGTGTATTTCAGGTCTACACACTATGGTTGTTGTGATGCACTCAATCTTCAGATTAGGCATCAATTTTGGTCGATAAGACAAGTCTTTACAATCTTACATGAGGGAGGATGTTTCTAAAAGTGCATTGTGGGAGAGTACGGATCCAGTACAATCAACGCAACACAATCGATTGAGGGACAGTCAATTTAGCACCGTCCCTCTCGAGGACAATGCATTAGTGCTGAGGACAAGAGGTGTTAAGGCATGCAACTATACATTCACTCAAGTCTCTGTGCATGTTTGGAAATAACTGTGTAGTCTACGTGAAATCCTACTTTAATACGCATCCTATACGTATAAACAATGCATTAGATCAGAAAGGTTAGTTCTAAAGAAAAATAAGGATTTCCTTATTTTTAAATGAATAATACATTAATTTAGATGTTTTAATTGTACGTTTTCTCGCAAAAGACCCAAAACGAATCTACAGCGCTACATGCGAGTGTACTGCAACTTTATGTGACTTTACACAACCGTACAACAACTGACGTTACATATATTTCAATGCGCCTCACGTCAACAATCTCTGAGTGAGAGCAATCCTGACTTTGTAAACATTGCAACATTTGTTAAAAACAATACAGATCCATAAAAACAAAGTGAAGTAACGTTCTAAAGAATTATACTCAGGATCTGGTGAAATTTCATTCGATATATACACGCTAGCTATTCTTAGATGCGTTACTAATATTCTGTTGCAGATTTTCAATTAAACAAAAAGACGGAGTAGATTTTTCTACTCTTATATACTTAAAGTTTTCTAAAAGTCCTGTTTCAACCCTAATGTGCAAATAGTCCTAAATAGTTGTATTTGAGACATGCAGTGGTATAGATATACAGGTAAGTATTAAGGCCAGTTTGAATTGTCCTACACTGGATAAACCTTAGCCTAAGCTGCTACAGGTAACATCCGAGTCTAGAGTCATGATAATGAGAAAAGGGAGAAACTTTCTTGGATTTGGTCGTAACACAACCTGGTTGATATGCTAATGTAATCACCAATCAGGTCATTAAACTAGCAAGCAGTCAATGTTTCGTCAAAGCAAGATGTGACACTATGTTTTTAAAGCTGGCCACGGTAACCGCACTTTTAGATGCCCAGAGCCTCGAGGAGGAAAGAGTGGCGAGAAACAGAGGACAGAGGAAGATCGCGTTCTTCTTGGAAAAGACAAAGTCCTTCTGAGGCAGTTCACTCGGCAGCCATTTTGGTAATGCTAGTACAACTCCTACCTACTTAAATGAGGATATCGTTTTGCCAGCCTTTCAACAATTGTTAAAATCACTTAAAAACACTGATACAAAAATTCAAATTTAGCTCCTTTAGCTTTAGAAATCATGTTAGTCTAGCTAATGTGCATGCATATCAAAACAAAACAGATCAGGATGCATTTGATTGTCCCTTTTAAATGAGAGACGCCATTTTGAGTTTTATGATTTCTCATCAATCATTTGTTCTTTTACTTATACTGTCTCTGATAAGGTCAACCAATTGATGACTTGCAAATGTGTCAAAAGGTAAAATGTATGAATCTAGACCTGAACTTTTCAACTGTCAAGTCGCAGAGGAACAACATGACTATCCCAAAACTGGTGAGCTTCATCTATGGTACTTCTATAAAAAAAAGCCAGAGTATGGGCACTGTTGGGTGATAAAATAAATCCAGTTTTTCAGTCCTTCCCATTTCCCAGAAAAAGAAACCGATGACACTGACCTAATTAGGTTCTTTCTTTATGCGGCAGTACGGAAATGCAGGAAGATCGACTGCTTCTCTTCATTCTGGAGTTAAATTTCACCTCATGTGCAAACCCAGACTATAGTCCCAATAATATTTTTTACTCTACGACAGCAGAGCGTAACCCTGAATCCCTTTCCTACATATACCACATTTGCATGGTGCTTGTGCAAGCGCCAATGTGTGCTACATCTATGAACGTGACCATGAAATGTCAGTTGCCTGAAAAATGTACCAATAAACAACTGATATTGATAAGACGAGTGCATACAGGCTCCATGATAGAGGGAATGAACCAAAAAATAGTGAGTAATTTTCACATTTACAAGAGCGCTAGCAAAAAACAAACAAAAAAAAGAAGCCATTAAAGTAAGATGCAACTAAATGCTACAACATCTTTCATTGTGACTCACATCCCATGCTATAAAAGTGCTTTTCCTTTTCCCATAATGCTTTCTGTGCTCATTGGGTTAAGGGAGAGTGTATAGTACGCAAAATAATAAAGTAATATAGGACTCGGGTGGGGTAAGGGTTTCCAGAGGAAGCTCAAATATTGTTTTGATAAGAACATGCATTTGATCTTAAAGGAGAAAAGCTGCCCTGTCTTTAAAAAGCAAATGTAGTGCAATGCTTTAAAAAAATAACCACCACATAAGCTTAGAAAACAGGATATTTTCGCCAATCATGGGCAGCTTCATCCACCAACACACATTGTGCGTTTCCAATTGCTCACCAATCCCCATCACCCCGATTCACGACCCAACCCTCTCTTCCGGACTCCTGCAGGTGGGCGGTCAGTAGTTGTCCCTCGGCCAGGCTCTCACGCGCTGACGGTTGTTTCGTTGGTTGTGTCCGTCCTGCGAGTCTCGCTGCTGCAGGAGTCGGTCCCGTGACTCGTGTCCGTTAGTGCTGTTGATGCCACCGGGTTGGTTACGGTTGGGCGGGTACACGTCCCGGTACGGGTTAGAGTGGCGTTGGGGTTCGTAATCATCTTCCTCTTCTTCCTCCTCCTCCTCGTTTTCTTCCTCGTCCTCCGGGGGGTGCAGGGAGCTAGAGCCGCCTCGGCGGAGGGAGCGAGAGTCACTGGCCTCGTCGGAGGGCATGAGGCTGTCCTGCTCCCCCTGCTCCTCCTCCTCCACTCCCCCTCCACCCCCGGCGGGCGACAACTGCTGGTTCTGGGACAGAAAGAGAGATATGACCACTCTAAACCATACTGAGGTCACGTTTCCTCTTTCTGTTTCACTCCAAAGAAAAATGACTCGTTTAGGAGATTGGTATACACATAAAAAAAAACAAATATTAAAACATGTAATGTGCAGTGAGGTGACATAAAGTGACTGGTTACTATGGCTTTGTTCACACTGCACACAAATTGGACTTGCTTTTTTAATCCAGACATTAGGACTAACTGTCCAAACTGTCATCATCTGTGAATGTAGTTTGGATCGGGATTGTCAGATGTGTTTTTGCTCTTCAGGCTGAATTGTTTTGAGTCTGAACAAAGCCTCTTTGGTTGCTGAGATCTGAGATCAAACTGCTGTGCATAATAGATTGCTACGCATTTTCCTCTGGAGCAAAAAAGACTCAGGTTAGTTTTAGAAACAAGGAGGTTGCATTCAAAGGGAAGTTAGAAGGGTTGTCACATTCACAAAGCATCAGTCTGTGTGCTCAGATACAGCCTGTTTTACAAAGTCATAAAATCAGTGTGTTTTTTTATAACGCAGGAAAACAGGCAGCTGTATCTGCTTTGTGAACTCATCTTATGGAGGGCCTACGGTGTTAATATCAATCAGCAAGGTGCAAAAACAGAACAGTCTGAGATGACTGTGTGTGCAGCTCACTCCGATAAAAGCAAATTAAGCCAAAAGTGTAGAGGGGTAGGTGCATAACACAATAGAAATCATAGAAAAAGTAGGCCTTGTCAAATGGAAAGTTTGCACTGCCATATGGGAGTTTACATCATTTGACAGAAAAAGTTAAAGGAAAAAAATGGACCTCTAGAAAGTCCCAGAAAGCATGTGGCTACTTCCCTGTAATTAATCCAGTTCAGTTCTAACCTCCAACTCGTAGGAACGCTGCCTACACCTTTACAAACGCTGACTACACCTTTACAAATGATGCCTACACCTTTTACAGCTGCCTACACCTTTACAAACGCTGCCTACACCTTTACAAACGCTGCCTACAGCTTTACAAACGCTGCCTACAGCTTTACAAACGCTGCCTACACCTTTACAAATGCTGCCTACACCTTTACAAACGCTGCCTACAGCTTTACAAACGCTGCCTACAGCTTTACAAACGCTGCCTACACCTTTACAAACGCTGCCTACAGCTTTACAAACGCTGCCTACACCTTTACAAACGCTGCCTACAGCTTTACAAACGCTGCCTACAGCTTTACAAACGCTGCCTACACCTTTACAAACGCTGCCTACACCTTTACAAACGCTGCCTACACCTTTACAAACGCTGCCTACAGCTTTACAAACGCTGCCTACACCTTTACAAATGATGCCTACACCTTTAGAAATGATGCCTACACCTTTACAAATGCTGCTTACAGCTTTACAAACGCTGCCTACAGCTTTACAAACGCTGCCTACACCTTTACAAACGCTGCCTACACCTTTACAAATGATGCCTACACCTTTAGAAATGATGCCTATACCTTTACAAATTATGCCTACACCTTTTACAGCTGCCTACACCTTTAAAGCTGCCTACACCTTTACAAACGCTGCCTACACCTTTACAAATGATGCCTACACCTTTACAAACGCTGCCTACACCTTTACAAACGCTGCCTACACCTTTACAAATGCTGCCTACACCTTTACAAACGCTGCCTACACCTTTAGAAAAACTGCCTACATCTTTAAAGCTGCCTACACCTTTACAAACGCTGCCTACACCATTACAAATGATGCCTACACCTTTAGAAATGATGCCTACACCTTTACAAACGCTGCCTACAACTTTACAGCTGCCTACACCTTTAAAGCTGCCTACACCTTTACAAACGCTGCCTACACCTTTAGAAAAGCTGCCTACACCTTTACAAATGATGCCTACACCCTATACAAATGATGCCTACACCTTTACAAATGCTGCCTTCACCTTAAGAAGCGTTGACTACATATTGAAATGCACCACCCACCTCTTACAAATGCTGTCTTCAACTTAAAAACACTGCCTACACCTTCATAAATGCAGCCTACACTTTTACAAATGTTCACTACAGCTTTAGAAACGTTGCCCACACAGACATGCTGCTTACACCCTTACAAATGCTGTCTACACCTTTAGAAATGTTGACTACACCTTGAGACATGCTGTCTACACCTCTAGAAACATTGACTACACCTTGAGACATGCTGCTTACACCCTTACAAATGCTGTCTACACCTTTAGAAACGTCGACTACACCTTGAGACATGCTGTCTACACCCTTACAAATGCTGCCTACACCTCTCGAAACGTTGACTACACCTTGAGTAATGCTGTCTACACCCTTCCCAATGCTGTCTACAACTTAAAAAGACTGCTTACACCTTTAGAAAAGCTCCCTACACCTTTAGAAACGTGACCAACACCTTGAAGCGAGCCACCTTCACCCTTACAAATGCCGTCTACACCTTTATAACACCGTCTACACTTTTAGAAACATTGCCTTCAACTTTACAAATGCTGTCTGCACTGCAGTTTTAGAAAAAGCGGTCTAAACCTTTAGAAACGTTGCCCACACCTTGAGAAACACCGCCTACACCCTTACAAATGCCGCCTAGACCTTTACAAACGCTGTCTATATCTTTACAAACACTGCCTACAGCTTTAAAAAAGTTGCCTTCACCTTAGGATACACTACCTACAGCTTTACAAATGTCTAGACCTTAGGACCAACAGTCTACATCTTCAGAAAAGCAGCCTACACCTTTACAAATGTTACCTACATCTTCACAAACACTGCATACACCTTCACAAACTCTGCCTACACCTTCACAAAACCTGCCTACACCTTCACAAATCCTGCCTACACCTTCAAAAACCCTGCCTACACCTTCAGAAACCCTGCCTTTAGAAACCCTGCCGAGACCTTCAGAAACCCTGCCTACACCTTCAGAAACCCTGACTACACCTTCAGAAACTCTGCCTACACCTTCAGAAACCCTGCCTACACCTTCAAAAACCCTGCCTACACCTTCAGAAAACCTACCTACACCTTCAGAAACCCTGCCTACACCTTCAGAAACCCTGCCTACACCTTCAAGAAACCCTGCCTACAACTTCAGAAACCCTGCCTACACCTTCAGAAATCCTGCTTACACTTTTACAAACATTCTCTGTAGCTTTACAAATGTGGTTTCACTTTATTTCGATAGTCTACTTTACACATTCTAGTGACTATAAGGAATTTTGCCACAAATGCTACCCATCCCACACCTTTACAAATGCTGTCTACACATTTTACAAATGTTGTCTATACCTTTACAAGCACTATCTACACCTTTAGAAATACTACCTACTACCTTTGCACCTTTAGCTGCTAACATTAGAATACACTGCCTACAGCTTTACAAATGCTTCCTACACCTTAAGACCCAGAGCCTCCATCTTCAGAAAAGCTGCTTATAGCTTTAAAAATGCCTTCTTTAATTATCCATCTTATTGTGCAACGCAGAAGTAAGCTATTTTCTAAGAATGTGCAAGACTTCTGATTCATTAGTCGCTATAGGTAAATAACTAGAAGAATAACAAAGAGCAGTATACGGTAAAACTATTTGTGTTAAAAACAGTGTGTTTATAATTACAACAGTAAGTAAAATTATATTGTAAGAAATACCACTTTGCAATATCAAGCAACATAACAAGCTGTTTTGTACAGCTAAAAATAACTGAAAGCAGAATCCAGACACATTCAATATACAAATGGGCGTGCCTGCTCTTACATTAAAAATAAGGGATAGATGTGCTTTAAATGCTGCACACACCTTTAGAAAACCTGCCTACACCTTTAGAAATGTCGCTTACACCATAAGATGAACTGATTAAATATGAAGAAGAACATTTAAATGTGGATTTAATGGACATTTGAATGTGCTTTTGGAGTTTTCTTGAACATTAAAGGCATTTAAAGGCCATAAAGCTTTTGTATTACTACCTTTTACCCAACTGAAACATAAAAACTATAAATGGGCTTCATGTCTTACCAACAACAGCATAACACAATCATATATTTGCATATATGATTTTCTTTTTTCAAATTAAGTGTTTTTCCAATGGGGATACCAGATGGCCATTTCCATTTGGAGGGTTTAAAGGAATTGGAGGATGTAAAGAGTATCAGGGTGGGGTTTGATTTACAGTCAGAGTGGGGAAGGCAGATTGACTGTCTCACCTACTCACCGCAGGTTTGTAAGCGCTCATTCAATTAATTCCTGTGTTTCAGAGAACTGCAAAGATGTCAGGCATGAATGAGACACAAAACAGACAGATTGAGACTTACAACATGTCAGTATTACAAGTATTTGTGGACCCAAGACAACTAAAGGACAGAGAGTGAAAATATGGAGTGTTGGAAAAGACAGACCAGACAAACGTTTACTTTATGACCACCTTATGTTATCAAAAAGGGCTATTATAATCATTCTTTTTAATTACAGATCTGTTTTGTCAAATGCAAAGTAGGACTGACCAATTATTGCTTGCATGAAATGATTAAAGCAGAAAATAGCTGTCACTAATTTGAATATACAGGGGCTCTAGTGAAAAGTCAAAACTCTAGTGCCAACCTTTATTTAGCATTTTACCTTTAAAACTGTGTCCCATGCACCAGTGAAAATCAGCTGTGACCTAAAACCATTTTCTGTGTAACTGCAACATCCTGACTTTTGAGGTCAGCTGTATAATTTTAATTGAATTAACTTCTTAGGATATTGAATAAGGTGGATGCAGACCTGAATCCACACATCACAAATTTAAGATATATTTCTGGAAGCTGATATTTATATTGGCATTTATATTCTCAATGATTATGTAGTCCAGAGCACAGTCTCTGGACTACTTTCCAGGCTGATCGATGAGGAGACATACTGTTCTAAGTCTGGTGGCCTCTAGTCTAAATAGGCCAATGCATATGTGACTGCAAAACACAAAACTTTTCAAGAATGTAGTCATCTGCTTTTTTAAATATAGAAGGATATATTGAATATTTATGACGATGACTTTGCTCATATTGTGAATGTCACAATTTAATGTGCCATCCCAGACAGCAACAAAGGGTTGGCCCAGATCGACTGGATCGATTGGAATGCACACGTTCCAGATCTGGGCCGACACAATGTTGCTGTCTGGGATTTAAGTTTCCTTAGATATGTCATTGCACTAGTTCCCACAATGCCTCCTTGTAAAGCTGCTTTGATTATCTTGAGAGCCAAAGGCACTTGCGAACTAACATATATTTCTCCTATATAAAACTCTTTAAATCTTTCGGCCTATCCACACAAAGACACCTCACCTGAAGACTGGAGATTGCCGAGGGTGGGGTCATCAGGTTTTGCTCCAATAGGGGGTTAAGAGGGGCGGTGCCTGGCAGATGAGTGGCACGCCAGTAAACCTCCAGATATTCAGCGAGGTGCTCACAGGCGTCCTCCAACTGGTTCTCGTCCAAAATGACATCAAACATCTCCTGATGGGGAGACAGGGTGGAGGAGAAGATGACATGCGGGGGATGAAATTAGAAGATATTATATAAAATATCTTATGATGGTGGACAGGTGATGGGAGATGACGTTGAGCGACAGGTAGGATAATGGCTCTATGGAACAACATGCAACATGACTTTTGTCAGAATGTGGTTTGGAAAAGCAAGCGTTTGCATCACTAGAACTGTAGCAAGGCCAGTCTAAATAAGAGCAGTCAATCAAGTGGGAATGAAGAACAAACATTTAAAATTACACCAGTTCACTAACAATTTGAGACACAAAATTACCTTCATTTCCAATTAACACAATGTGTAGTCAGACAGATGTGCCCTAAATGAAATGCTCTCAAAACCTGCACTTCTCATCCTTGCAATCCTAACTGTCAGCCATTGACAGTTTTAGGGAAAACAAATCTAACTTCACTTTGTTTAGGGCTGTCAGAGTTTGACTGGTAATCAGGTCTATTTACACAGAGGGAAAACAGCTAAATGATGGTAGAGATTTTGAATAGTTAGTCCAAAAATAATTCGGTCATTATTTACCCACCCTTGTGTATTTCCAAAAATACTATACTAGTTTCTCTTTTCAATGCAACTGCAATAAATGGGTACTTCCAAGCTTTCAAAAAGCAAAAGCACCATACAAGTCCTGCATATGCTATACTTCGAGTTTTCTGAAACCAAACGATAGCTTTGGGTGAGAAACATACAGAAAATGTTGTTATCCACTGAAAATTGTGTTTTGTGAACCACATCAACCAATCCATGACCAAGATCATTGTAAAAAGATTTGTGAATAATACTTTAATGGGGTTTTAGTGTCTTCCTTAAAGCTCCAGTCCCTATTCATTGCAATTGCACGGAAAGGAGCAACCAGTACAGTTTCTCAAAATATATTCCCATGATCCACACAAGAAAGAAAGTCATATGTATTAGGAACAAAATGAGGGAGAGTAAATAACAATCATTTCCCAAAAAATGTTCTGTGCAGTCCATTGCTGTCCATCAGGGGTGTCCAATCCTGCTCCTGCAGAGTTTACCTCCATCAAACCTGCCAGGGAGTTTCAAGTGATCTTGTAGACCTTGATAAGCTGGTTCAGCTGTGTTTAATTAGGACTAGAGCGGATAGTGGTCCTCAAGGAGCACAGGATTGGACACCCCTGCTGTACATGCATTACATGAGTTTACATCAAGTACCAGGGCACATCCCATGTAATATGGCAGTCTAGCTCTTTAAGACCTTTTCAAGGAAATATTGTAAAAAGACAAAACTATCCAATTATATTTGTGAAGTGGATCTTGCCAACACTAATGTTGAATCTGCAGTATTCTGAACAGCTCTGTGAACGTTTATGGCTACATGTGTGTGTGTGTGTGTGTTTAAACTTCAAGAACTTACAGGCGGGCACTGAACCAGTTTATCTGCTGCCATCATCTGAACATTGAGGTGTTTGCTCTGTGATTTACCCCTCGACTTTATCAACCGCTGTAGGACCTGCCAAAAGAGAGGAAGAATCAAAGAAAAATAAATAATACATTTTTCTGTAAATAGAGCTGGAGTTATTTTTGAGAATATTTTCAGCAATCCTTTGAAATAGTGCACCCGTGATCATGAGACTTACCTTCGGAGAGGTGACCTTGACATAGACTATAATGGGAGCTAGCGAGGTTTTAGCTAGCTGTGTTGGATGGTTAATGGTGTCCGCATCCAGAATCACCAGTTGAAGGGTTTTGGCCAACTCAAATATTCTCTCGATCTCACTCTGTACCTCCGCTGGGTGCACAAACAGACAAACAGCACCCACAAAACATGAAGCCCGAGAAAATGCCCAAAAAGTTCAACAATATAGATTTTGTCTGCTGGTTTTTATTTTTGAACATTTTTAATACCTATGCTCACAATTTTGACAAGACTTTGTTAACCAGGTAGATACTGTAAACTAAAAAAGCAATTGCGGTAAAAAAATAGGCAACTGATGATATCTTATTGTTGAGCTCTGATGCTTGTACAGTATAGCAAGTCTTTAGTGAGTTGATGTTCTCACCCAAACTGGTCCGTGTGTTAGACCTCTCCATGATAGGTCTCTTGTTGAGAACCGATCTCTTGGCTAAAGAAAGGTCAGCGGTTACCCGGGTTATAGAAATCCTGTCAGCATAACAATCCATTAGTGACTTAATAATGTGAAAGAAAGATTGCAGGTCACTGAAAATCATGTTTCCACCATAGTAATTGATTCTGATGTGCCAGTTGTATTTTATATTACTTAAATTTGGGTCTGTTCCTCGTACAAAGCGTATGGCTTTAGAAGACAGGAAATATAAATCACATGAGTTGTATGGACTACTTTTATGAATGTTTTATGGCCTTTTTGGAGCTAGACAGACGCTGTCACCATTAATTTTCATTGTAAGGACATAAGTGTGAGTAAACGACGATTATGCATACACATACACTGAATTAAGATTTTGTTCATGTTTATGAAAGAAGTGTCTTATGCTCATCAAAGTTACATTTATTTGATCAGTAAAAACAGTAATATTGTTAAATATTCCTTATTATTATCAACATTGAAAACAGTTAATATTTTTTTGTAAAACCTGTGATACACTACCATTCAAAAGTCTATAAAATAATATTTAGCATAGACTGATCAAAAGACATTTATGTTACAAAACATTTCTATTTCAAATAAATGCTGTTGTTTTGAACTTTCTATTCATTGAAGAATCCTGAAAAAAATGATTCCACAAAAATATTAAGCAGCAAAAACAGTTTTCCACATTGATAATAATAAGAACCATTATCAATAATTGAGTACCAATAATAATAATTGATAAAAATTTGTCTAATCATCATATTAGAATGATTTCTGAAGGATCATGTGACACTGAAGACTGGAGTAATGATGCTGAAAATTCAGCTTTGATCACAGGAATAAATTATATTTTTAAAACATATTAAAATAAAAAATAAAATTATTTTAATTTGTCATCGCATTTCACTATGTTACTGTTTTTACTGTATTTTTGATCAAATAAATGCAGCCTTGGTGAGCAGAAGAGTCTTCTTTAAAAGAAACATAAAACATTTAAAATCATAATTACTCCAAAGTTTTTACCGGTAGTGTATATCTAATACATATACAATCGAGAAATGTGCCAAGATGTCTTTTAGAGCTCACCGTCCATCAAAGCGATGTTTGAGAAAGTCAAACAGAGCTTTCTGCATCATATCTGTCACCTGTCGACAGACACGACACATGAGACAACACATTTTCAAAACAAATTCAGAGGGTTGTATGAAGTCTAGCGCTCACCTCATAGCCCTTCAGTGAAGGCCCAACCAGAACCACAGGCCTCATGGACGGCACCACATCATACGGAGGAATGAGTTCAGTCTAATTGAGAAAAACAAGAACGGCACCGTCACACAGAACCACAGCATCGAGTACAACCAGGACAAACTGGATTTAAAGCAGTATCCATAACGTGTCAGCACAGACTGGTAACAATCTTGGTGCTGCAATTGTCATGCATAAATATTTTCTGAGATTCATGAAACGTTGTCAAGATACTTTTCCTACTGTTTACAATATCTAGTACTGTCATAGAAATAATTCTGTGTTACAATGTAATTATGCATTATGCATGTACTTACTATAGGGTTAGGATTGGGGTTTGGTTTAGGGTTATCACTACAATAACTACATGTAATGTGTAACAAGGACACTGTAAAATAAAGTGTTACCTAATTCTATTTAGTTTTTTGGGGTATTAATGAAAATTTTGGGGTAGCGATACCAAAAGAGGGCTTCCTATAAGTCTCTCATTAAATCATTTGCTCAATTATGTTACAACCTGTCTGACCAATCGCAAGGAGAGATTATCATAAGATATCTTACACATAGCCATTTCAACACACCTACCTGCTTTAGCTTCTGTTTGGCTTTTGGAAATGAGAGAACACATCAGAATCAGCATTCAGAAGATTGTAGAATAAGAATTACTTTTCTTTTTTTTTACCATCCTCTGAACTTTTACAGGTGTTATCCTACTGTATTTGACAGTAGAAGCTTAACCTGTGACAAAATGTGTCATGCGTTAAGAAAGAATAAGAACAAAAGCAAGGAAAGGTAAATAAACTCACTGATCTTCAGCCCTACTGATATTTTGCTCATTTGGGGGGGCATTCCCAGTCACACACATCCCCTGCAAAGCGGCATGGCGCCCAGGCCCTGTCATACTCACTCTCACCTGCAGATGGCGGCGTGGATCTCCAACCTCCTGATACCATGTCGCCTAGGCTTGAGGAGGAGTTACCACTTTTCCTGCGGAGAAAGAACAAACAAAAACATCAGCCTATGATACCACATGGCTTCACAGAGCTGGTAAGCTATCTGGACATTCCCAGAATTGTCAGCTTCATTGCTTCCTCTCATCGGGTCATTTTGACCCGACATTCATTTTCTTTTAATTTAAAAAAAATTAGTGTTCATTGGAGTGGTCCAAGACCTTGGGAGATTTGTCGCACTTGAACTTGGAATTTACTTTAATTTAATGTGAAGAATGTGTTATATAATTCAATATAAATATTAAAATTATTGATAAAATCTAGTTATTTAGAGATTGATAAAAAAAAATATATATATCTCCCAAAAAATTGCATTAAAATAGAAAAGAATTATAAGAATGAAATGAAATAATCTTTCCGGACAAAAAAAAAGAAGCAGCATTTTTCTAATTTTATAAGTAATTTTAGGGCTTCGGGTCATTCTGACCTGTGAGGGAAGGATTTGTTACAGGTACAGGAGGAGAGGATAAGGGTTCAGACTAAATTCAGTATTATTGTCATAGTCACTTTTGCCATCTTTTGGCGTCTTTAATCTCAGTTTGCATTTCCAACAACAATACAGTAAGGGAGCGTTTTTGTTGAGTATTATATTTGACATATCAGTCTTTTATGCCTCATATAGTATTTAACAGGAGAATATGGAGCTCATTCTCAAGAAGAAGAAAACACAGTGATTAAAGAAAAAAGGCCCAAAATAAGCAAAAAATTGCAATTTGCTGCAGATGCTGATTTGTATATGCCAAATAAAGTAGGATTAAATTATGATAATGTAAATCAATCAGATATTTATAACAGTATAGCAGATAACCAAACAGTTGTGGGGCCACATTGACTTCCATAGTATGTATAGAATTTTGTGTTCAACATAACAAAGAAACTCATACAAGTTTGGAACAACTTGAGGGCGAGTAAATGATTTTGGGTGAACTATCCCTTAAACTCATGGGTCCTTATTGTAAAGTGTTACCTTCATATAAAATGCATTGTATTTCTATGCATCTAAATGTATTCCAACGTCTGAAATATACATAGAACACAATCTTGGCAGAGAGAGAAAGAGACCTCTGTTGTTTTTGCTCCTGTTTGAGTCTCATGGCCTCCAGTCGGAGGGGGCTGGGTATGAAGCTGATGTCGGCCCCCTCTTTCACCAGCCTTCCGATCCACCAGTCATTATTGTACTTCTGCAACACAAGGAAAACACACACTCAGCACTATTACGAGGAGCCATTATGGTGTTATGGGCATTGTTAGCCAATAGCCTGATAGACTGACCTGCAGAACTTTCCACACGTTCGTCTGCATGTATTGTACGTGCATCTCACCTCTTTAATGTGCAGAAAGTCTTTGGCTTCAAAGTTTATGGCAGCACCCTGAACAGGACAGTCCTCATCTAGAGCCCCGCAATAATTCACATTCGTCTTCACTGCGAACGCTACAGGTTTGGACTGCCAGAGAAAGCAATGTTAATAATCACATAGCTGTGTGTGTGTGTGTGTGTGTGTGTGTGTGTGTGTGGCTGCTCTATTAAAAGGTAGACTATCTCAATAACTGCATAGTAAATATATAAATAATTATCTAATATAACTAATGCATAGTAATTAAAATAGTAAGTAACATTACATTATATAATGCTTAGCAGGTGATTAGTGTACATTCAAAAACACAGTAATTGAATAAAACGGTGTAACATTTGAATGAATTTATAGAAATTTTACATGAAAGTGAACCATTGGTTGTATTTTTTAGTACAATTTGGGACAAAATGTTGTAAGATAAAGTAAAAGGTCCCTTTTACATACACGTTTGCATTTTATTTAAGGTCAGCAGACACATTTGTCTGCAGCAATAAGAACTTCAACATAAGCGAATATCAAGAAACAATGAATTGATCCTTTTAAAGTGTGCAATATTGATCTAAATGCTAAGAAAATGTTGTTACTTGAACCAATCTGTACGGATGATGCCCTGTCCCAACACGTTCATGTCACAAGCTACATGCAGATGGACACTTTGTCGCTACCCATTGTGCAAAGAAATAGTAAAAGCCCAGAACCTTGGCTCTCTCGAGCTGCAGCTGGGCCTGGCGTTCGGCTTCACGCCGATACGCCTCGCGGTCCTCCTCCGCTGACAGGTCGGAATCCGAAGGTCTGCTCGTGTACGAATCGGCTGAACCCTGCAGGACCGGGAATAAGGGGAAACCAAGAATGTTGTTTGGTGAAAAAGTACAATAAATAGCCCATAACTGTAGTGTAAACATAGCCTAGCTAGTCATAACACTCTCATTGATCACCACAAAACATACAGCTATACAGAAAGGCAGATGAAAGGCCAGAGGTTTACGATGAAGAAGTGACACATCAAATGTGCAAATAGACTTTATAATATAATGTCTTGATATATAATAATGTCTATAATATAATGAAACAATTAACAATAGGCCTTTATATTGAAAGTTAAACAGTAGTATATATGACATGCAAAGTTAAATGTGGAGTATGTGTTTTACTTTATATGTGTGATGCATATATTTGTCAAAAGTGCTCTTATTTATGTGGTACTTCAAAACAAAAAGTATAAGAATGAGAGCCACAGAGTTCAGAGAACACATAATACAACACATGATATGTGCACAATAACAAAAGTCCTTTCAAATAAACCTTTGTAAATAAACTATTTATACTATATTGTAGAGTGTGTGATTTACAACATTATATTCTGTAGCCAAATTGTAAGATTGTTACAATTTTAGTGTGCATGTGGGAAAACATCCAATCAATTCCCTGTGGACAAAGAGTCCCATCCTACATTTTGTCTTGTTCAAGAACCTCTCTGTAGGGAAGAAAAGACTATTGCAACTTCTGTTTCATGCCGACTTTAACAGCTTTGACTCACTAAAAAAAATAAGGTAAAGTCTATTGTCAATGCATTACACAACTAATTACTTATAAGAGTAATGTGAACACTTATTTGTTACTGTACATTTTAAATCTGTAGCTTGCATAGTTGGTGTTTGCAATGAACAAGTAAGAAGTTACTTGTCACTGCACTAGCACAGCTAATGCTCATTATGTGAAGCAAATTAACTTAATTCATGCAGCCATCCACAGCGCAAGCACAAGCTGGTAAACACAAAAAACTATAACATAACAAAAACTCTTTTAAACGTTATACATAACTATACATAACAGGTCTTTCTATTTACTCAAAACACAAAGTAACACTTCATTTCAACATTTACTGTCCTGATCCAGCCCTATGCAAAGCATGCTGGGATCTAAATATCTTCTGCCCAGTATCAGTTAATGCTACAAAAAGAAAGAAAAAAATCATAAGTAGCTCAACGCTAAGGATTTTTTCTAATGGCCCAGTCGGCCAGTGGTTCAAATTTTGATTTGCCCTGCTACAAATTTCACACAAATGAAATAAACAGTGCTTTTCAAGTTTTTCAGGTTGGTCTAACAGTAATTTTCAATTACAGAATTTGAATAAAGTAATCAAATGTAAAATAACACTGCATAGTCTTCACTGTACAAACTAAATTTAGATGAATCCTTATTAATGTTACAAAAGCTATTCAGTCAAAAGCAGTGAGCGATGTTTTTCTTCGTCTTGTTTTCTGATTAACATTAAAGAACAGGCAGCAGCAGGGACATTAGGCTGCTGTCACTTTAAGACCTGCACGGATCCAATATACTGTTTTTCCACTCAACTGCGCTACTTTTCCATTGTTTATCAAGGTAAACATGCGCTAGACGGACGTCTTTAACCATTGCGCTCCCGTCTCATGTCTTTTTCCAACATCTCAGCATCTTTTTTTCGTTCCACTGACCTGCATTACGTGCTTTTAAAAGCAAAAACTCGTTCTGTGTGAAAAAGCCCTTACACATGTTTTTTATTTCTCGACTGTTTATGAGGATACTCGCCAATATGGGCATTTTGACAATTTTGAGTGAATTTGTCAGTTCAAGCGCAAGAGCACATTCAAAGAGAACTCAATTCATTATTTCCACGCTTTTTGGGCGCACGCTATGGATGCATGTTGCGCACACACAACTTCTTAAACAGCAAGTATCAAATTGACTTCTAGCGTCTTCTTGCGCATGGATTTTTAAATGGGCAAGGCTTAAAAACACATGCAAATGATAAACTTTCATGACGATGCAGACGATGCAGCACAATGCAGTCCTTATTGTCGAGCCCTGAGTAAACTTCAGTTTTTAATATCTAAGTAGATTGGACACAATTAAATTAAGTAGAAGCAAAATGTTCAGCAATTCTGTTGCTTTAACTCATTTTAATTAAGTTACAGGTGAAACTCGAAAAATTAGAATATTTTGCTGATAGCATACATGCCACAGTAATTCATGCAAAAACCAAGTACTGAGTACATATGAATGATAATACTTTTCAGAGGGCCGACATTTCTGTATTTAAAATACTTTTTTTTATTGATTTCATGTAATATTCTAATTTTGAATATGGGGTTTTCATAAGCTGTAAGCCACAATCATCAAAATTATACCAAATAAAGGCTTGAAATATCTCACTTTGCATGTAATGAGTCTACTAATATATTAGTTTCACCTTTTAAGTTGAATTACTGAAATAAATAAACTTTTGCACGATATTCAAATTTTTCGAGCTTCACCTGTAATTTAACAATTGTCAAAAATGATCTTTTACGGTGTACAATGAACCACTGGAGCAACACCAGAGCTGAAATGCTTATGGTCAGTGAGTCATCAAATGCTGCTCCAATGGTCTGTACAGTCCTAATGGACACATCCAGCTTTAAACCGTCCAAAGAAACACATGTCTAACAGATTCCACAGGGGTAAAAATGGAGCCTGTACACTACAAATGTTGGAAATTCAATTTGATTACATTAAATACAACTGTGATCTGTGGCAGAGTGATCCTCTCAGATTTCATCCTCTAAGGTGACAGATTACTACAGCACTAGAGCGGCGAACACGAGGCAGTCATGTAATGATTCGACTATAATAAAACAAAAATCACCCAAATATGCCCAAAACAGTGGAATTCGCATTTCAAAGCGATACCAACATCTTCCATAACCATGACAATAATGAACTGAAAGGCAGTGCAAAAACTTGTGCATCCAGACCAACAATAATATACAAAACTTAACAAATCTTAAAAACCACCTCTCTCTGACATTCAAAGTCATCATCTCATTGCAAAATCCTAATCAGGTAAATTCCACCTACCTTCTTCAAGACAATGGTTTGAGGTGTTTTTAATGCTATCTCATTCTCTATGAGCTCAAGAGAGCCTCCAGGACTCTCTAAGTCTTGTGGTTGGTGGCCCTTCCTGGTCCACTATGAAGAGCAATAACGCTCAACGCCAGTCAAAAACACCACCGAGATCCAGAGCCCAAAACAGAGCAGTCATGACTGGCCTCAGAACCTCACAGCAGGGATGGAGGAAGGCGAAAGACAGAGAGAGAGAGAGAGAGAGAGAGAGAGAGAGAGAGAGAGAGAGAGAGAGAGAGAGAGAGAGAGAGAGAGAGAGAGAGAGAGAGAGAGAGAGAGAGAGAGTGTGTGTGTGTGTGTGTGTGTGTGGAACTCAGGAGACAAATGAAATGCAAGCGGGCGGTACAAGCTGTTAGAAGAAGAAAAAATGGAGGGAGGGTTGAAAACGAGCACCTCAGGACTAGCCGAGCTGCAGTGAGCAGAATGCTTCGGGGGGGGGGGGGGGGGGGGGGGGGGCTGAAAGCTTAACAAACACTGTATCAGCATCATCATCATCATCATCATCACCAACAACAACAACTGAAGACTCGCATCAGCATTTCATCTTTACAACAGATTCCATAATCATTAGAAAAAAAAGCATCTTTGATGTTTCAACGTTGTCATGCATACATACATTATGCATTTATTTTAGTGTTTGGAAAACTAATCTGTGATTCAAAATCTAATTTAATCTTAATTAACAGTAAATTTTATTATTTAAAAAAAGATAGATTTGGACTTAATTTCACTTTTATTTTGCCTCTATCCCAACTTTTTTTTGGAGTGTGTTGCAGCCATCAAAATCACAATTAGTTTATTTTTACAAAATACAATTAAGTTGGTCAGTGAAAACATTGAAAACATTGAAAATCTTTTTTTGTACTTGTGTCAGTTAAATAAAGGTCCGAGAGACTTAACAAATGACAGATTCTTGATTTTATTAATGTCCCAACTTTTCTGCAATTGGCGTTTCTGGAAATGGCACTGAAGCATGCTCTTTGGATCATTATATTAATGACAATATATAATTTGTAATCCAAAAAAAAAAAGAGGAGAAATGTAAAATATAAACATTTACATTAGTGGTTTCAGACTTTTGGACCCCACTGTACAAAATGCATGATAGCAAATATGATAGAAATTACATAAACTCACTGAAATGAATACATGCATACATATTTAACTCAATGAATTGAATTGAATACACATTTAACAAAATTATTTGACATTTTACACAAATAACCGTTTACTCAAAATTGACCATAAATATGTGAAAATAGAAAATGTGCACTATCCATTAATCACTTCTGTTATTCAGCCAATCTGGCACAGTTCTTGGTTAATGCTGATAATCTTGAAATGATCAAATATCTCAATTAATCAGCCAGACCGATATACACTCACCGGCCACTTTATTAGGTACCCCATGCTAGTAACGGGTTGGACCCCCTTTTGCCTTCAGAACTGCCTCAATTCTTCGTGGCATAGATTCAACAAGGTGCTGGAAGCATTCCTCAGGGAGTTTGGTCCATATTGACATGATGGCATCACAAAGTTGCCGCAGATTTGTCGGCTGCACATCCATGATGCGAATCTCCCGTTCCACCACATCCCAAAGATGCTCTATTGGGTTGAGATCTGGTGACTGTGGAGGCCATTTTAGTACAGTGAACTCATTGTCATGTTCAAGAAACCAATTTGAAATGATTAGAGCTTTGTGACATGGTGGAAGTAGCCATCAGAGGATGGGTACATGGTGGCCATAAAGGGATGGACATGGTCAGAAACAATGCTCAGGTAGGCCGTGGCATTTAAACGATGCCCAATTGGCACTAAGGGGCCTAAAGTGTGCCAGGAAAACATCCCCCACACCATTACACCACCACCACCAGCCTGCACAGTGGTAACAAGGCAT